CTTCATTCCTTGCTGACCAGAGGCAAGTGGTTTGAAATGTTTGATGTTCTGCAACGTTCAAAGCTGGGACGTTTTGTGTGTCTCACACATTTGCAGCGGGGTATTTCAACAATGGGGCCAGACCCCAAACGGCTAAGCATTTACACGCAGAGATTTGTCTCAACGACTGTCAGTGTGGTGACCGAAGCTAGCCTCCTCATGGCTTGCATACACGAATCAAAGTTCGGGCTTCCTGACGCAGGCGCAGAGCTAAGAGACCCATAGTCCCACTGAAGTAGATACAACATGGCTTTGGGTATATGATGATAAGATCCCCATATACCCCATGTTCTATCTACTTCAGGGGGACTATAAATGGTCGGAGAGGTCATGACGACATCCATTGATTGTATGCAAAGATCGTAGCCAGGAGATCCAACTGACAGGTAGTGATATCGACTTGACGCGGCCTGCTGAACCAATTTCTTTTGGGGGCTCTTGAAACATTCAACTTGTCAGTGTTTTTGTGATGACCACCTGAACCCTAAACCCTAAACGCCAGCGTCGTTTTAGAGTCCAGGGCTTGAAGTTTGGGATTGTGGCTGCTACTCTCAGCTACTCATCAGCCTATAGCTCGGCGCTAGGCTTTGGGTATCAAGGGTATCTAGCTCATTGTTTATGGAGCACAATATCCATACGTCAAAAAATTGTCAAGGCAAACCTGAGTCTAAACTCCTAGTATCCTCCTCAATTAATTAATTAGCCCAATAATACTCCCTATAGAATCCCCTAAACCCTTTGCAAGGAGTGTGGACTATAGCTCACATGAGCATGATCCTCCCCCTACCGTCCCGCTAGTGATTCTAGCAGTCTAGGTTCCCCCCTTTTTTCCAAATATTCAGCTTTAATAAGGAGACCCCAAAATGAAAGGGGAAAAGGGTACCACTGGGGTACCTAGCAGTCGAGGAACTCTGCCTTTTCTTCTGCAGGACTTCGCGTGCATCTGGCATGGATCCAGGGCTTCCTGCTACAGTATTCACCTTCTGTTCAGGGTTTAGGGTTTAGGGTCTAGGGTTTAGAGTTGAAATGGGTATATCAATTGTCGGGCGGCCCCTTCAGGACAGTGTATGAGTGTAGGAGTATGGACTGCCTTGGCTATCATACGATACACCTGCTGCCTTTGCGTAAACTAGGGTAGGTTTGGGGGAAAACTGCATTTCCATGGCTTTATATGGATGATATAGGGATTCAGGGTAATAGAAATTCGAGAATATTTTCAAACATAACCCCAATATTACCCCAATACTACCCTGATATTACCAATACGACTGCTGTCAATGAGTGATTCAGCGCTGGAGGAAACATCCTTCGAGGGTCGTGGTCACCTGCACCTGGGTGTGGTGACAGTAAAAACGACGGCGAAGGTTGGTTTACGGCTTGCTTACTGGGCCTAGTAGGGAATAAGAGTAGGGTTTAGGGTTCTATGTATAGACATTGACAGGGTTTAGGGCTTAGAGTTTAGGGTTAGCAGGTAATTGCCTTGGGGCCCAATATTTGCGTATATTGTGTCTAGGGTTTAGGGTTCTATATATATAGATACCGATAGGGTTAGGGTCAGCAGGTAATTGCTTTGGGGCCTAGTAGGGAATAAGGTATGTGTATAGTATTTAGGGTTTAGGGTTAGTAGGGAATAACGAATATATTATATAGGGGCCATATGAGCCATTGTCTAGACTCCTAGTATCCCCCTTAGTAGTCCCCTACATAACCCCCTATATATACCCCCTTTCAGGAGTTTAGACTATAGCTCATATAGGGATCCTATTCCCCATTTCCTTCTAACCCCCCCCAGTACGCTCAGGGCAGGTTGTTCTTTGAGCTAGGTTGACATCTTTGAGGTAAAGAGATGCTTTAGAAATGAAATCCTTGTTATTCGTACTGGCTCTTAGTAGGGAATAAGGGGATATGATCCTTATCTAATCCCTGTATAGCAGATTCCCGTATTCCCTGCTAAGAACCGGTGAGTATTCGGATCCCTGCTCTCTTCATCAAGATGGCCTTCGTGAATTCACGACCCTTGACCTGGTACACTTGACAGAGTGAGCGCTGAAACATGAAGGGGTTAGGGTTTAGGGTGCACAGGGAAACCTTTATACGCGTGAATCCTGACCCTCAGGAACTTTAAAGACGGGACTGTGGTGCTGAGATGCAACCCTAGAATCTTGCGCCCGTTTTACTTAGGGTTTAGCGTCATGGGGATTTTATTGGGCTTATATAGGGATAATGGTAAAGAAAATGGAAACTACTATTTAGGGCTTAGGGTTTAAGATAATCCATGCCGTCTTTGGACACCCTGCTGGCAAAATTTCATACTTCACCTGGTCTCGAATCCACACTCAGCCATGCACCTCATCGCTTTCCTGCAGTGGCAGTCATCTCATCCAGCTGCTGGATCTGGGCAGCAATTGTTTGGTCGGAGTTTTGGGGTCTAAGAAGGTCTGAGTCTAAGGGGTTCGGGTTAAGAGGTGATGAGTGGTTCTACACATGCCAAATTCTTGACCATCACCAAGTCAGCATGGCCGTTTTAGCAACATGGTTTAGGCGGTTTGGGCTTGGAGGTCGGTGGCCTGACATTTGATCTATAGCGAAGATGCCCCTCAAGCTTCCGGGTCGTTTGGAGGCCAAGAGGTCGAAGGCAAAATCACGCCGGTGCCTAGACTTCAGACAAGTGAAGCTTGAGGTGTGATGGGTTAACCTTCGAAAGCTGGTTTGGGGAAATCAATCCGGCTACATGTGCAGAATGGCCCACCGGTTCATATCGAACACCACCCGATCCTCGGACTGAGATGCAATGCCTAAACCTATAAACCCCTAAACCCTAAACCGATAGAACACCTTTTCAGGCAAGGGTGATGACATGTGATGACCTACAAATGCAACCCGCCCACGTAAACTCCATTACCTCTTCTGCAGTGAAGCCTTGACAAGGTCGCAATACACATGTGGTAGTTTCCCAAAATAACAGGACCCCAATATAGATCCAAAAATATGTTCGTCCTTATTATAGGGACCCCCAAAATGGTACCCCTAATTTTGAGACACGCCCATGTCTCCCCTAATTGATGGAGAGCTTCGAGTAGGCACACCCCAAACATACCGAAGTTCCCTGAATCCCAGAGCCCTGAAGGCACACACAATGCACTAGAAGCCATAGACCCGTCGGTCCGAACGGCTAAACAACCCGCAAGTAGCAATCTTTGAAATCAAGTACCAAAACGCAGAAGGCTCGCACTGCACAGGCGTATGCTCGTGCTGTACAACAAAGAAACTGCCAGGACAAAAAATGAGAATCTGTAGCACTTTGGAACCGCAAATGACTTTTAATATCCCGACTGTGTTGAGGGCTTCTGCCAGGATTGGCCGCTGTCATAGCCCCACATATCCAATATACGGATACATATACATACAATACACATGCACCCTTTATACCCCCTTTCATCCCCCTTGCGTATCCTCTGGTTTCTAAACCCGCCACAGATCTTAGAGCTGAACCCAATCGGCTTCCCAATCTTGCTCCTCATCATCTGCCTGCAGCATCCAATTTTGCTCCTACCATTCTCAGTACACCTCTTCGTCTCACGAAGATTACGCAATGCTGCTGATGGTTACCCGTCTTCCGGGTACAATTTTCACTGATTCCTAGTGAGAGCTAATTCTAGTAGCAGGACACGGAGAGCTTGCAGGGAAAGTTCTCGCCATCATTCCTGATTCATGTTGAGGCGAAAAGATTAGCAAGTTGAATCCGCTGCATGTCTTTGCAAGCGTTGGGTCGAAACAACATGGGGCTTAATATGCTCTTAGCCACATAGCATGGAATGGGAAACCAAGCGGGAGATGCAGCCTCAGAGGCAAAAAAGGCAATCGAATGAAATGTTAGGACAGTAGAGCTTTGACCCACTCCCCACACACTGCTGGCCGCAATTATCTGTGCCACTTAGAGGTCGTGCAAGGACGTTCTGCACACTGACCCCGAAGTGAGACTGAAATCCCGCACCCTTGACTGGGTTGCTGTTAAGGAACTTAAATTAAGTTACCATAATGGGTATATATAGTAATTTATAGGGTTTCCCCAGTATAGTAACTTAAATTAATTTCCTTAACAGCAACCCAGTTGAAGTATCCAGTTTGGACGCATGGCTGGATGCATGTCCATGCCTCATCAGGCTGACTGAAATTCGCCTGAAACGCCTTCAGGTCCTGCCAGATCAAGTGTCAACACATGAGCTAGAGGCAATATTTCCACATTCAACAAATGGACATGGGTTGCTTATTAAGGACCATGTTAAGGACTATACTAAACTACAGGAGGGACCCTCAGCAAGGCTTATGCTGACAGTAGCTCACATGACGAATGGCATTGTGGATTAGGCAGCGCCAGAAGTTGCTCTTCATTACCAGGGGAACCTGCGTTGCTGATCTCCCTGAAGGCCAGCCAATACGTGGAAACCCAAAAACACATTGAGTAAGTGCTGGTAAGCACTTGGGTACTGCTCCCCAATCCAGGAACAGTCTATAGTAGGGGTAAAATTGAGGGCTATATATAACTATAACAGAGTATTGTCCAACTGCTTCTGAATGGGGCAGTGTCCAAGCAAGCACCTGAACTAAAGCATGTACAGTGTTGTAGCAGATTGCTTCTGCTGGACATACCTTCATCAAGCCTTGGGTGTATCTTCGCAAAGGGCAAGGGCTTCCGAGTATACCAAAGGTGCCAAAACACGGGCTTCAGAAGAATGCGTTGGAATTTGAAGTTCCATTGGTATGTGAGCTGGATTGTGGCGCACTGCGTTCAGCGAGGTGACGGGAAACCGTCCTTATTGCACAGATTTGAAATTGAAATATTCCATACGGCAGTTCCCCTAAACAGCGCGACCCCGATATAGACCCTAAAATACCTTCAACATTGTAAGGGAATTTCCCCTACTTTTGGGAACCCCTAAAACCAAGAACCCTATATCCCCCTATATAACCCTTGCATAACCCCTATATCCCCCTGTAAGGGTACCCCCTAGTGGGCTGGAACAAAGGTGCCCGGCTAGGATTGAGGATTTAGGGTCTGACGGGGCCCTCTGAATAATTCTCTCCACAGTGACTCACAGGGTTTAGGGCTTAGGGTCCATTCCAACCTGCCAGACTGTTCCGTAGGGTTTAGGGTTTAGGGTTTAGCATACATTTGTAAAGCTTTGCCTCTACGTACCCCGTTGTTACCTCTTACGTAATCAAACTCTTCCACGAAAAGCGCCAAAACCAAGACCCCCCACCCCCTTGGCGAAAACCAGAGCAACATATATGCCCAAACCACCAACAGAAAGGAGACTTTGGAAAACCCAGAGTAATCTTATGTACGCCCACTATGCCATAGTCTATTCGTTCTGAGGACCCGAAGGAGGAGTTCACAAAATTAGAGGTACTTTGTGGATTTCCCTTAACAAGGATTATGATTATTGTATTCTTGGGGATATAGATATATATGTATAAGGATAGATAGATAGATAGAAAGATCGATTGTGTGTGTATATATATATAGATATATATGTATATATATATATATATGGCGTGACGCTGCCTCCAAGGAGGCGGCCTGCGGTTCGTAGTCCTGAGGAACTTTTCAGGCCCTTTTCTTGTACATGATTTAGGGTTTAGGGATTACGGTTTAGGGTTCAATGGTTAGGGCCCAGGGTTTGGAGCTTAAGGTTTAAGCTTTAAGGCGTAGAGCCTACTTGGCGTGCCCATGTCTGTTTTGTATATTGGGTTCATGTAGATATTATCAAGAGAGAACAGCTTGGACGGGCATGCTTGCTGATAGTACTCCCTCAGATTGCTTCCGTAACATACAACATAATTACGTACTGGGGCTTACTTAGTACAAGTAGGGAACAAGGGAATCTTATCCTTTTTAAATTGCTGTTTTCTGTATTTCCTTAATCCCCTACTAATGCCCAATAAATATACCATCCTAAAGCCATCTCAATGCCAGCTGAAGGTATCATTCTTGGGCTTCAAGTTTTGGGGCTTCGACTTCCGTGGCTTCTGGGTTCAAGTCTGAGGCTGACGACGGGTGACCACGCTGTGGGCATATGTAGGAGCTTCTCCAGACTGATGTAGACCCCTGATTAATAAACTCCCTCCGCTTCGTAGGGATGATAATAGGGATCCTAATATTTAGGCCCTTAAAAGGAGGGTGTTTATCAATCATGGGTCCACATTACCCCGATACAGTCCTTCAAAAAGGAGCCCCCAGTGATCCTTTTGCAATCCCCATGTGAGCTATAGTCCAAACTCCTAGTATCCCCCTTAATAAGTCCTACAATAGGAGCCCCATATAGTCCCTTGCATAAACCCCTTTCAGGAATTTAGAGTACAGCTCACATATCTCTACAGTAAGGTTTGCGAGTCCAGACCTACGTTCCGTTTCCAGCTGCTAGAAGCAAGCTGTCTTAAGGATGCGTGCATGACATGCTCAAAGTCAGTGGGCAACACGAAGCAACCCGGTACCTTATGGGGGTTTCCCAAAATTGGGGGTATCTGCTTGCGGGTCCCCATCATGATAAGGATTATAGTAATTTGCAGTCTATATTGGGGTTCCTGATCTATAGAAACCACCAAAAAAGCAGTGGCATGTGAGAAGGTGCCCCTACTCTCCCAAGTGTCCTGGAGCTCTCATATATGACGGAATACCAATTCAATGACGCATTGTCTTGTACCATGAAATTCCAAAGCTCTCATGATCCACCACCTAGCATGTGACTAAACTCCTAGTTTCCCCCTTAACTACCTTCTAAATACCCTATATAACCCTTCTTTAAGGAATTTGGACCCTAAACCCTAAATCCTAAACCCTATATAACCTCTTAAGGCTATAACCCTAAACCCTAAATCCTAAACTCAAAACCCTATATAACCTCTTCAGGCTATAACCCTAAACCCTAAATCCTAAACTCTAAACCCTATATAACCCCTGAAGGAGTTGAGACTATAGTTCATGTAGCCAGCCTCGTCATCTCCGCCTGCAGGGAGGCTACGGCGGGGCGCGTCCCTGCCCCCCTCGCGGCCACGGCTGTTTCTCCTGGCTGCGTCTGGAGAACTAAACCCTAAACCAACAATAATAGTAGTGATAAAAGAAATAGAAATAGAAACAATAATAGTAATATTACAAGCAATAATAACAGCAATAATAGTTACAATAACAGGAGCAACATTAACATCCTGAATGCTCAAGTTGGAGCTTAGAGCTTCAGACTCTTGCGTGGCTGTTTTCAAGCAAAAAGCTTATGATGGTGGGGGAGGGGCAGATAGGCCAAGATGAGAAGACTCCTACTGCAGCATCCTACCCTAAACCCTAAATCCTAAACCTTGCAGGCAGGGGCATGGAGCTCTCCCGCTTCAGGTTTGTAAACGTGGCATGCTGGGCTGGAGGAATAGAAGAGGCTTCGGGGAGGACTACCGGGGTCCTTTCTTCCAGACTTCAATATACTGATGGAATATCTAAAGAGGCCACTATGTCTCTTGGTCTCGAATCTTCCCCAAATCCCCTAAACCCTAGGCCCTGAACCCTTAGCCCTCTTCCCTCATGAACCCTCTGACTCTGAAGCCTGAAGCTCCACACATGCTGAGCGCTGGATCCGAAACCCCCGCACCTCTCTGCCAGATATCCTAAGTTTTGAGCCACTATTATAGGATATTCTCATATTGTATCGTATAGTATATTGTTGCATATTATAGGATGCTACAACATATTATAGCAGATCTGCCTACGCCCTATGTCCTGACCCCCGCGGAAGCCCAATCCCAGGATCTTTCCCGAAGCGGGCCTTCGGCGACTTCCCCTATCTTCACGGAGAGGCGTGAAGCCCTCTAACTCAGAGGCATCCAGTTCGTCCTCGACACCTGAATATTATAGTATATTATAGGGATTTCCTCAGGCTCTTTTATTCTGTATTTCTCCCTCTATCTAACCAGGGCCCTCCTGTTTTGAAGACATTTATGCTTGCTACGTAGGCGAGCCCTGGCCACCCACCGCATTTTGAGAAGCAAACATATACCGGTCGGAGGAAGGGTGAATGGGTTTGTGCGCATCAGAATTCGGTGAAACAAGCACCCTCATGCTGACGACTATCAGCAACTACGCCAAGAATGACATCTTTAGGGCAGTGTTGGCCAAAAATGGCGACGCCTATGCCTCCAGATGAGAAGTCTCTTCACCATAGCCGGCCCTCAAGGACACAGGAACTTGGCCATGTGGGGTTCCTTGCGGCAGCCACATATGCTGGCCGGAATAACTACCAAGATCCTTTTAAGGTCTATTTGGGTGGTTGTCAAAATTATGGTCCCTTCTTGGGTACCCTAAAAATTAGGTGCCGTATTATAATAGGGATCCAACAAGGGACCATAAATTTGACAACCACCCCTTTGAGGTACCTGTAGCATACTTGTACAATCCCACGAGTAGCCATCTCAGCAGCCCACCCACGGACAGTGACGCTGCGGCTTCCCCTTCAATAAGCATCTAAGCCCTTACCACAAGGATCTCTCAAACAGACCCCATGATTGCGAGGCCCCCCCCCACTCCAAGCGACACATGTTTGAAAACCAGACTGCTTTGGAGGAGCAAGATTCTCTCCAGGTCTAAACTAGCTTGTTCAAGTTGACACTAACATACCCACGAGCCTAACAGAATCTTAATGGCATAGATTCCTGGCTGAGGTTGGCGCCAGTAAAGGCCTTCTGCATCTTGTTCTGCCTTTAGGCTGCTGGGAGTACGGGCCATGGAAGGAAGCGTTAAGGACCATAACGTAAGGGCCCAAGCAATCAGAACAGGATTCAGGGGTACGTTATGTTGCCAATTGAAAGGGAATTTTGATGCTGGGAGTTCAGGAGAAGTGACCATGGCCAACGGGCTGATGTCATTCTTTCGTAGTCAGAACTTTAATTTACATTTGGAAGCCCGCAGCCTGCATCCACCATGCTCCATGCGCTTTGGCAGGATCATGACGGTTGCTCCCGAGACCACGAGCCGGTAATGCAAAACCACGAAACCCGAAAGAGTATTGCTGTGAAAGAACTTAAATTAAGTTACCGTAATGGGTATCTATTCTAATTTTTCCCTATTCAGTAACTTAGATTACGTCCCTTAGCAGCTATCCAGTAAACTCAGACCCTCAACCGCATACTCCCTAGAGGCGGGCACCTTCAAGGTATCCCTCATATTCCTTGCATTTATGAAATCTACGAGGATTCATGAAAGAAGCTTCCCCTGGCCCCCCAAGGAAGGATCCACAACCGAGAGTGGCCCCATGCCAATGACGCTTGCTTTCCCTGACATGCGTGATTCTCACATTTGAACCCCCCTTATTCACCCCTGTCATTTCAACGGCCTTTTCGGTTTGATGCTCCAATACATAATTCCTACTATTCCCCATAATATAAGCCTAAATAAACCCGCGCAAGAGCTATAGTCCAAACTCCTGGTATCCCTCTCAAAAATCCTATAATACTCCCCTAAATAATCCCCTATAGAACCCCCTTTAAGGAGTTTAGAACCCTAAACCCTAAACCCCAAGCCCTAAACCCCAAGCCCTAAACCCTAAACCCCAAGCCCTAAACTTTACGCCCTAAAGCCTACACCCTACACTCTAGACCCTATATGCCTGCTCAAATAATCCCGTAAAAGGTCCGCAAGGTCGGTACCTTTCGAAAGGGTCGCCGTCCGGTCGCTTCAGGATGGTCGAGCCCTTCAGCCTTTCTGACAGGGGCTTGGCCTTTTGGGCTTCTGGCGCTATCCGATGTATAGGTTCCACACGCTATACATATGAATCCTCCTTGATCACCATGCTCCTACCCCTATACCCTAAACCCTGAACAAGGAGGGCTTTGCAAGACAACCTGGTTCATCGTAGTAGCGGCCTTCTGGAGAGAAGTGGCAGTTTCTAATCATTGCGCGGAACCACCAAAAAGATCAAAGTTCCTGTTCCCAAAACGGTCAGTGTAGAACATTTCTCCCATGTTTGCGCCCACAGGAACCCTAAACAATTTGCCCAAACAACAATTACATCAACCCCCTCATTTGCATTGCTGTCCTCTTGCAGTTTTTGGTGGGCATGAAATTGACTGACGACCATGGCGCCACCCAAATGTAGCAAACTACAAAGACTTGACACAGAGGGCATATCCTTCTGGTATTCGAGAGGGAATCCTTTTGGGGTATAGTATTTCATACAAGGAATATACCTTGACTAGGCCACAGCTGAACCAAAAACAAACTCAAAATGCAAAAGCAATGCTGGGCCGTCAAAAAGGGGAGCAAAGCACTGCCACCACCCAAAGAAGTACTTTGCGGCTTGGCTCTGCATTCGCATAAGGGTCAACCTACTCAAAGTTGTAAACAGTAGTCGTGAAACCACCCAAAAAAGTCAAGCATGCCTCAAAACTCTCCACCCTAGGACTGAAGATCCTCCACCGTCAACTTCAAAAGCACTAACAGTCCGACTGGCAGCCTAGCTTGAGGACGATCGCAAGCGAACACGACTGCAGTTCATTAGAACACTTGAATGATTACTATTGTCATTACTATTGTTACTGCAGTTACTATTACTAATAACTATTACTAGTATTATTACTCATATTATTGCTACTACTGTTACTATTGTTAATGCTACATGTACGCATTTGCTAAAAGGATCCTTCTAGGATGAAACAGAGGGACAGTCATGTTCGGTCCAAATCTTCAAAGCCCTCTACACAACAATGAGCCTGTGAACTTGCCATCAGTCCGCTTGTCAGCTTTGGTTCGTGATTGGAGCTATCAGACTTGGACGAAATCTCGATCAACACTGTTCTGGATTCTGAGCCCCCCAGCTGTCACTTTCTCAGGAATCAAAAGGGAATAACAAGGAAGTTCAAGTAGGCAACCCTTCAGCTAAAACTCTAGACCGTAGACCCCAAGCTCTATAATGCTGAAATGCTCAACGTGGATCCTAATCCTGAGCCTCCAACTCCTGAACCTTAAGCCCCGAACCCTGCCCCCGAATCCATAAACCCCATACCAGCTGTTGTCTAAACTCCTTGTATTCTCTCAGGAACCCCTATAAGGAGTCAAGATCCTAAACCCTAAGCCCTGAAACCCGAAACCCTACATAACCCGCATATGCTTACAGGGTCTCTAAGGCTACATACGTCTTAACGTTACTATGGAGGCCACCTGCGGATCTCCTTGGGGTTGAGCATTCTGTAAGAGCCCGCCTGCCAAAAACTCGAAACAGAAAGGGCGTTGAGGGTTTAGGGCTTAGTTTAGGCCTAGGGGCTCGGAATTTTGAGTTTGACGGTTTTGGAATTACGGAATGTTTGAGTCTATGGGGTAAACAGTAGGCTTCTCCTGCATCTCTTCCCATGGCTTCTCTCGATATTGCCGTGTACACTCACATGACTAGCCCAGCATCATAGTAAGATTAATGTTGTCTTGCGGTGTGAGTTTGGGCGTTTCAACCACTGAAGTCCGCCACACAGGATTTGAATGGAACAGGCTGCAGGAAGCGTAGACAGTGGGGCGAGGTTTAGGGTGTGTTTGATTAGAGCTTAAGGGTGACGCTTTAACAGGGCGTAAATCTCTGACTGCTTTAGGACAACTTGCCTGAACAGTACTCTAAGTTCTGGGCAGCTTCAGCACGCGATGACATAAAGAAGGGATATTTCTATGTGCATGGGAGCCATGGGGATTTTTGACGCGTTTATATGGCTGTGCGAGATGCTCTCATGGTAGACCCTCTGAAGCTACCATAGATTTGGGGTCGCTGGTGTTTTTGGTTACGTACTACGAACCCTAAGCCCTAAACCCTAAACCCAGGATTCGCACAGAAACCTCGTGGCAACCCCATGGCACCCCTGCGCAAGTAGCTTGCGAGTGTCTCAGAGCATCCTTCAAAAACAGGATAAGTTCCAGGGTTTAGTGTTTAAGGCTTGGAGGTTGGGACGCAGAATCGAATAGACAAGAACATGGACAGTTCAAGGTTGTATAGGGTTTTATAGAAAATGGTCGTGAACCCAGAATCGGAGATAGCTTATGACAAGACTTGCGGCTATTTCTCAAGAGCAGGGCCCTGGACGGTGCACCCAAGATTTGGAGCAGAAGCCTGCCTATGATCCCTACGGTTTGCCTACATGTTCCTTTTTAGCCCAGAGGATATAATCCCCCTCAAGTGGATAGAATATGGCTTTGGGTAAATTATTCTAAGATCCCCACATACCCCGTATTTCGTCTACTTAAGCGGGATGATATCGTGTGTGCGCACCCTGAACCCTAAACCCTATGTATTATATGCTTCTCGCAAGAAAGACACAAGGAAACCGCAGCGGCAAAGGTTCCTGAACTAAAGCCTTAAAGCCTCAAGGGTTACAGTCCTCCTTAAGTAGATAGACTATGGGGTATATGGGGATCCTTTTATAATATACCCAAAGCCATATTCTATCTACTTGAGGGGACTATAAATCCTTCACACGCTTCCCTAAAGGTCTGAGTGAGTGTAAAAATGGCTGGCAGATGACCTGGGCAAACAGTACCTATGGCAGAACCCGTCTGAGACAAGGTTATTATATGCCGTATAGGTGCTTGGGCTCAGGGATTACACCAAAAATCCTAGATCTCCCAATCCTCAAAGCCTAAACCCTAAATAAGAAACCTATATCCCAAAATCCCTAAACGCTGTACCCTAAATCCCATAAACAAAAATCCTACATCCCTAATCCCCTAGACCCTAAGCCCCTTAAACCCTACATTGCTGACGGGGCCTGAAGCTCCTTGTCCAAGCGTACGAGGCCGATCCTGCATGACTGGCTTGCTCTTAAGGCACGTATATGAAGGAACCGAAAAGAAGTTGCAAACTGTCTGTTAGGGGGATTTGGGATTTGGGTTTAGGGATTTGGGTTGAAAATGCAAATATCTTTTAGGGTTTAGGGATTTGGCTTTAGGGATTTGAGTTAAAAAGAAGAGAAACTTCTTTGGAGCTGTGATGTAGGGACCTGCTGTCAAGGTCCATTCCATCATCCCTTACTAACTAGAGGTGAGAAGGAAGGGCTGAATTAAGGAACATAAACAATAAGTTGCCATAAGGGGCCCCCTTCAAAGTGGTTATAGGGGTTGTGCAGGGTTTAATTACATAAGCTTATATAGAGGGTTTAGGGTTAAACTACCATATTGTGGGGATATGTCTATATACTCAGGAAATAACAGGGCTTCCTGAGATACACTTTTCTTAAGCATGGGAGCTTCAACTTTTCAGGTCCAGGAAGTTGGTACCGGGTGTCTATATATACTTGTGTTCTAAAAACATGGGATCCAACTATGTACCCCGAATACAGTGGGAGAATCCCATGTGAGCTATAGTCTAAACTACCAGTATCCCCCGTAATAAGCGCGATAATATTCTGCTATATAATCCCCTATATATACGGCCCTCCAAGGAGTTTAGATGATGCTTTAAGGAGCTTAGATTATAACCCATGTGCTCATTCTGTAGCCTCCAACATTTAGTTTCAGGGAGCTTGGGGTGTTTGCCGGGGTGCCTTCCAAAGATAGGGATGCGGATTCTGCGCGCAGGCTACGCAAGCAAACAATCAAAAAGCACAGAGCGTGTACGCACAACACGCTGGCAAACATTCCAAATAAGGAAGTCGATCGGACTGGAGAGGGACTATGATTGAACGCTACCAATCCTGAAGGAAGGATCATCAACCGATTCCCACCATTAGCTGTACTCATCCAATCAGCCAGAACAGCTCAGGCATACTCTGCGAAGTGGGACCTCTGTAATCTCAAGCCTCTCCCTCTAAACTGTAGATAGTCACTAGAAAATCTCTGCAAAAATGCTGAACCCTAAACCCCAAACCCTAATCACCACAATCCCTACAACCTCGTTACATCCCCTCAAACACGAGCTCAGGGTTGGGCGCGGTGCGCTTGACAGCCTGAGTCGGGTCTTGGGTTTACCTGTCACTGTGCAAATGTATCCTCTTCCTCTGCGCAATACCCTTCTACATGCTACTGAACTCATGCAACTGCATCTTGAAGTACAAAGGCGCAAAAGAAACACTGAGGCAGCTTCCGGCGAAATAATCCTCTGTGGAGTTTGAACAAAATCCAGCTAGGCTCCCAGCGCGAACCGGGTGTCCGATGTACTCGAACATGCGCAGAATCTGGCGGTACCTGCGAGATCATACATAGATTGCTTCCGCATGCCTCCACCCCTTTATTTTTCAAGTAAACGTGTACCCCGAATATGTTGCAACAGGGAATCTAATATATTCGAATATTTGCTTTGTAATATAAGCGGCAAGCAGGTAGTAATCCCGGCAACGATCATGTTGGTAGATTGGCGGCCGGTACTACGCCTAGCTATGGCGGCCATCTTAGGCTGTTTGACAAGTATATCTGTAGATGCCGCCCATTTGAATGCCTTGCCGCGACCCTTCGGGTCCTCTATACTCATAGATATGGACATTCAAGCAAGCTTATAACAGAACGGCCTTCAACGCAGAATTTTTACTGGAATGATCACAATGATCACAGTTATCATCATGTTTATCATTCCCAGTACTACTACCATTGCCGCTATCAGCAGAAATACGCCCACAAATAAAACCCTAAACCCTATAGGCCGCCCACTCACGATGGTGGGCGGTGCCTACGCCCCTCGACAGGTCGACCGGACTGGTTCTCCATCAGCACAGCCAGGGGGTCGGTAGCACCCACGACCGCCCGGGCACTGGACCTTGTTCTCCTTGCAACTAGTACTGGTTGCCTTAAAAAGAATTACCGTGGGCTGCATCCAGAACCCCGCTCTGAAGAGGTCTTCAATGGGGTTCTGCGCCTCCTCTGCCAACGAATTGGGGCCTGAGAGCCTGGAGGGGCGGCCTTCCCCACACCACACAAGAAGAGGATCCAAAAGGCTTCTTCCAACCTTCCAAATCAAAGATGAACTTGTGTTGTTGACCAAGATGGACCTAATTGAGTTCACGTCCTAAATCCTAAAAGGACTAGTTCTGGGTGGCATGGCCGCCTCAGGCGGCGTGGGGTGGCTTAAGGTGTTATACGGCCTTCCACAGTCAGGCCATGCAGCACCTCGCAAGCCGCGATGCACTTGACGTTACCTTGAAGCGCCTCTATCAAATCTTCTTCGCAACATCACAGCGAACCCTATACCCTAAATCCTATATCCTAAAACGCTTAACCGCCGGGGCGCACCGACCTTCCTTCATGGTAAAGGATAGGGCAGCGATGCCCTGGACGCGGTCATGCTCTAGAACCTTCCAGGGCAACACAAGGAGGAAATCGATAGGGGCTAGGGTTTTGGGTTTTGGGTTTTGGGGTTTTGGGATAGATACTTGGTTGGCCTTTGGAGCTCTTTGAGAAATGCTAGTAATTACATCGGGGTTGTTATGAAACCACTATGGGAACATATTCGCGTATCCCAAAGGCCAACCCAGGATAGATAGGGATATCCCATCTAAAGACCTTTATAGTCTACCTGCAGAAGGTAGGGATATTCCCCCCAAAAGCTTCTGCTTAGGTTCTTTTTTGGCTCCTAGTATAATGAACCTTCAAGCCTGAAGGCCTCCAGGTCTTCCAACGGAAGGCATGGACGGCGCTGATCTGGAAGTCGAAGCCCACGGTTGAGGGCCTTCAAAGCTTGAAAGGGGCCGGGGAGCAGGCTTTACGGGTTTGAGGGTTTAGCGTTTTAGGATTTGGCCTTTGATCACGAACCCGTGTTGTCATGGGTCCCCCCTTGTCACAAAACTGTTTGTCATGGCCTGTTGCTACATACCTTTTGCTGCGAATTTTGGTGCATGTATGCACCCAAAAGGCGCCAAAGGTGCTGGCAGCAAGGCTTTCAACTCTGTTACAAGCCTACGTCGCGGAAGGGTCGCCCAAGCCTCTTGCAAACCCAGTGTTCTTGAGTTACAACAGCCATTTGGGTTGTGAGGAGGGAGCTAGGATTTAGGGTAAAGCCTTCGAGAACCGGATTATGGGTTATGGTTTTCAGGATGGTGTTTAGGATTTAGTGTATGGTATGTGGGTGTAGGATAGGAGACCCGCCCCAAACAAATCTGGGTCATAGTGTCAAATTAAGTTTTATAGGAGGAGGGTTTCGGGAGCTCAGAATCTGTTTGCAAGTAAATTCAATAGGACGAGGGTTTTCGTAGCTAGGAATCTGGTAAATTCAATAGGAGTAGCTGTTCTAAATAAAGTTCAATTTAAAGGAAAAGCTTTTGCCTTCTGGAGCCCCTAGGGGCCCGGAAAATTTCCGGTAAATCCAGTCCACCCCAAAACACTCCTATTACCGAGGACCCACGCATCTGCTGGACTACCCAATTGCAAATATGATTGCGCGGCCTCCTCGAACGATCGGTTTAATAAGAAATAGATAGTTCTGGACCTGGCCTGTAACCTGAAACACTGAAGCTGAAGATCCTTGAGGCAAACATTCTAATATAACATTCTAGTGTAGTACGAGCAGCTCGGATTAGAAAAGCAAAGCAGTTTACTCTACCAAATCATTTTCCGAAAGTCATGTTAGGTTGCGTAACTTCGCGCAAATGAGGTCCCCGCAAACGAATCAGGGGGTGCTCAATGATTTTAGCAAAGCTTCGCACAATTAAGGCTCCCCACACTAATCTAGGATGAGGGTCTGGGGATCTGGGATGACAAAAACACAAGAATCCAAAAGCTTAACATCTCAAAATTGAAAAGTCAGAAAATCCAAAACTCCAAATATCCAAACTTCGAGCTGGCATTTTTCCAGACATTAAGCTTTGGAGTTTGGACTTTGGTTAAAACTTTGCAAAATCTCTTGCGCAATTAGATTTGTGGATCGATCCCCAGGTCGTTTGGACGGGCTTCGGGTTTAGGGTTTGGGGTTTGCTTAAACCCTAAACCCTAAATCCTAAACCCTAAACCCTAAACCCTAAACCCTATAAACCCTAAATTTAAGGGTTGTGGATCAAGCCATCTGGGTTGCGGTGGGGTCAGGCTCAAAAAGGTCAGGCGGAGGGTCTCATGGATGACCCTTCGACCTAGATAAGGGTTTAGGGTTTAGGTAGGGTTCAGGGTTTAGGGAGTTTAGGGCTCCCGCCAGCTCCTTAACCAAGGGCCCTTTATGCGGCATGAAGGGTGCCATACCTGTCGTAACAATGCTACCTCGTTCTGGCCCATCGCTAGAATCATCTTGATCAAAAGGAACATATAGGATTCCTGCATATGCACCAGAACTGTTTCCGTTATTGGGATAGTACTAAGAACTAGAGCTGCATATTCCTGATTGAATTCAATATAGTTAAAGAATTTATCCCAAATTGACACAGTCAACTTTGGTGAACCTCCACCTCATAACATCTAAACTTTCTCGGGATTCTCAGGGCAATGTGGAAATCATATTGTTGGATTATGGCAAGTTTGCTGCACATGGTGGTCTTGGATTATGTTGAAGACCTCCTGATGCGCCGCAACTAGGCCCTAACTGCAACCCCAACACAATGTCAAGCTCCACTCTGTTAGCGCTAATCTAAGCCCTTAAGCCTCGTGAACTTGAAAGCTCGGCCCCAAATTCTTCAACTCATATCCACAAAACGCCTGACAGAACCAGAATCCTATCTTCGCTTATCAGAATCCATCCTGCATCTTCTGTGTGTCTGGAGCACCCTCATAGACGACCACCTCGAGTGGTTTCTGTTTTCACGCAGAGGGGTTCTCAAACCTATGCGTCCCCCATCGCGACGCTTGTCTGAAAACATGCTGCTGCTGCTGCTGCTGCTGCAAGCTGTGCGTTTTCGGGCGATTTCTCTACCAAATTATTGACATCCTCCACGGGTCCCCAATGTATTCGGGCTATGAAAAGGAACTTTGGAATGCAAGGGCGTGTGCGGTGCTGCTTGGTGCCGGGGGGAGGCCATTAGATTCGTTAGCCTGCTCCATAATGGGCATGCATTCACAATAGGGCCTCTTACATGCCCTGGTACAGCCCCCAACGTCGAAGCCTAAATGGTTCCCAATGTTGTGGTCCTAAATTCTTCGCAGAAGCATGGCCGTGTGGTATAAGGTATCTCAAATACACCTTACACTTAACTATGTTTTAATGTTTTCAGAGTCTCCCTTCCTAGCTCTTGCAGTCCAACCCCAAAATACTAATCCCTAAGCTGCGTCCTAAGAGAACAGAGCTCCCATCGACCAGTGTCTCCACACTACAGAGCCTTGTGAGTTGAAGTCCTTAGACTGAGAGCTATATCCCTTTGAGTGTATATGAGGGAGCCTCTGAGGATGTCCTATCTCAGTTTCTTGGGGCTTTGGGATCGAACTCGTGCCCAAATACGTTGGAATCATATTTGCTCAATATGTTCCCTAACCTCTAAACCCTAAATATGTTCCACAGCCTTTTAGGCGCCAGATCTGGATCATATCACTTGCAGGCTCCTAGGGAATATGGGAAGATAATCCCCACATAATCCCCATGGAATTTAGTCCCTTATTCCCTGCTAATCGCCAGAAAGTAAGTCAGTGACACATAAATTCCTGAAGCCGGTCCAAGCCCTTAAACAAGTCAGTTAAACCCTAAACCCCTAAACCCTAAACCCCTAAACCCTAAACCCCTAAACCACTAAACCCTAAACCACTAAACCCTAAACCCCTAAACCCTAAACCTGTCGAAGTCCCAGGATCATGTCATTGAGGTCAAGATTTATGCGCAGTACTTGATGAATCTGTTCACTACCAAGAGCTTTAGGGTTTAGGGTTTAGGGTTACATAAAGATGCTACATAACCGGTGCTAACGGGATCAGCAGCCCGCCTTACATTGTTCCTGTTGCCCCCAGACAAAGATATAGTTTTATCATGGGTTCCCTATTACGTACTCCCCTCCTATACCAAGTCAAGGCTACTTCAGCGGCACCTGGAGAAGGGGATTGAAGTATGAGCGAGAAGTTCGGAAACCCATGATTTTAGGCGTTATGGAAGTAAACTCAGACCCACTTAAAAAGTACAACGCATCAGAATCGCCAGCGTTGACCGAAGCTCGCAGTCCCTCACAAGAACCGTTTAACTCCCTCGTGGCTAGAATGAAGGATTGGGTTCTCAGGCAAAATAATGTGAGTCAAGTAAGAACTACTGTAGAGATCGATTCGTCCATTTCCTATCACAAACCCTAGCTCTGCAAACCTAAAGCCCTAAACCCTACGTTAGAACTGCAATAGTGTCCATTCATTAGGCCATTCACTACAAGTAAAGGATATCAAAATGTAACAGTGTAGACCATAATCGTAATTGTAAGAGACTTGCGGGTTTTGCTCGGGAGTTTCTTCAATTTTCTTGGATTCTTCACGGTAAGCCTGCCTCTAGCCCTCTATTGCAAGACTACTATAGTCTAGTATTGTCCATTTTCTTTGTCATAATCACCGTAATCAGCGTCTATCTCTATTTCCCTTCCCCACTAACTAACCCCAAGTCATAGTCACCCGTAGCTTCTACTCACTGCCCATTCCCTACAGTGACCATCAGTAAGGTATTCGCATCATTCTTTTTTATCTGTCCTCCATTTGCTTGCCCATTCCAACCCTAAACACTAAATCTTAAACCTTGAATCCTCAACCCTAATCCTAAACCCTAAACCCTAAACCCTAAATCCTAAACCCTAAATCCTAAACCCTAAACCCAAAAAATATTGTTGTAAATCCTAAGCCTTAAGTCGTAAGCTACGTTTTGGGGCCACGGCTCGGTATGTCCTCGTCATCTCGTAGCGCGGGTGCGTCTGGCAGGTCACCGTAGGGTTCAAGTACCCAAACCCAGGCTTGGGAACAAACGGGTGGGTTTAGGGTTTAGGGTTTAGGGTGCATATGTAGGTTCAGGATTGTACTCTTGAAGGCTCTGGGGTCGAAAATGGGTCCCAAATATACCTACAACTTGCACTGTACAACCCAATGCTTGGGTACTCGGACTCTTAGGGTGAGGGCTCTTGGCTCAAGGTATCTTAAGCCTGACCCCGCCACCTAGGGTCCGAATACTGCTGTAGCTCTTGGATTTGGAGCGCTTAGGGCATGAATCACGCAACGAGGGTTCAGGCATCCCCATTTATTTCCTGACCGTCCCACCTTATCCGCATACTTTAGTCGAAAGATGTCTGCATGCAAACCGCGCGTTGTAAAGTTGAAAGGAGAAAGCCTATGATCTTGCCAAGGGCCCCTCAATCTTTAAAACAGTCTTTCAAGCTGTGTACTCCCTTACTGGAGGTACATGCTCATTACCACGTGCTCTCCCCTAGCTACCGCACACCTTTAGCAAGATGTGGAGCTCGTCTACTGCACCGGACTTGATGCGCTGAAGCTATGCATCCGACATTAAGCATCAGGCGCTGTCAGTACCATCCTGAAACGCAAAACCGGGCATGTTGGAACAGGGCGGGGTACCAGGTAAGTGGCCCACTCGTAGTCATTGGTCAACAAAACTAGACCTGAACTGCTGCTGTTTACGCTTTGGCAGGCGTGGGGTCCATGAATTCTTGGCTGTGAGGCGAGGAATGGGTTGCTTCTAAAGGCTTAGGGTTTATGGTTTACTTCATGGACAAAATGGTTGCACAATTCCTGGATGTAAGCGAAAGGGCTGAAGATTCCAAGGCCTGTAGCCAAGACGGCTTAGCAATGTTACAATCATTTCTTTGTCATAGTGGAAAGTCGAATGGAAACTACTAAAGTATATTGAGGTTATATTGGGATACTGGAAAAGAAAATGGAAGCTACTATCATAGGTTACATAGGGTATAGAACATAGTCTTTGTGCAAGCTTTAGACATGATGAGAGCTTCCTGCTGCTTGAGAGCTGTCCTGCACAGAGATGAACTGCGATGTATCCATATAAGGAGACACCTCGTCATGATCTAGATTACGGTTTAGGGTTGAGGGTTTAGGGATTAGATCCTCCTGCCCGAAAGTCTTCTTTACCGTACCCTTCAACAGCATGCAAGAGGGAACAGAGTTGTGAGAGGATTGGGATCTGCGGGGTTGAGAGCGGAGCAGGGATATGAACATAGGGTTTACTAAGATGCGTCCCATGAGTATCACATCTGGGATGAACTCTTGCACTTGCATTGAGCAGACCCTGCCGCGCTTTAACACTGCACTTTGAACTGCCCTTGGAACATGCTGGGAAGCAGGGTCACGTTTGCAATTAGCAATGAATGAGTAAATCATAGGTGTCGTTTGTAATATTCAAAACCGTAGATCCTAAAATCCAAATCTCTCACCCCAAATCCTAAGCCGAGGACCTGAAAACCTCGAAAACCCCCAGACACCCCACACCCTAAACCCTCTATCTGCCATAGTCTAAACCTAGTATCCCCCTAAAAACCCCTATAGTAGTCCCCTATATGATCATCCATATAACCCCTTCTTTAAGGAGCTTAGACTATGGCTCATATCCTAAGCGCAAGAAAGCCTTGAGTTGCCGACCTGTACTGTTACGCTCCAATCTCCCAACGGGCCTTAGCTGGTTTAAAGGTTTATTACCATAACTTAGGGTTTGGGGGGGGGGGGTGGGTGAGTCATTTTGGTTTTGAACTTTTGAACTTTGAAAATTTTACGTTTTAGACTTTCACAATTAAGGAAATTTGGGTACCCTAAGTAATGGTAAGTTTACTTGGGCTTGAGGGTTTAAGGTTTAGGCAGGGATGCCTGTCTTCGGGACTTACTGGGGGTTAGTAGGGAATCAAAAAGGAATGTACTATATAGGGATTATGTTCCTATATTCCCTGCTAGCCCCCAGTAAGCAGAGCCACTATAAGGGGCTGGAAGTGTCCATTCCATTTTCCATTTGCCTCTCCATCATTGAGGCCTAAACCCCATTTACCCCCATCGGCCCTAAAACCTATAGGCTGCTTGCAACTTCAGCATCTTCCAACCTAGTTATACCCTATCTTTTCAGCTCGTTCAACCATGGTAACTTCATCCTGTCAGACACCAGATGATGGCGCTTGGCTCTCTTTCTGCCATTGCTATGTGATGCTATGTGTATGTATGTCTATAAATATGTCTGTATATATGTGTATATGAAAATACATTTCGGTAAGGTATCCTTTGCAGAATGCGAACTCTGCCGAGGGCCTTAGGTTAGAATGGCTTGGCAGCTGACCTGCCATAGGCTAAACGTGTGTAAACTGTAAACCTGGAGAGATAACTTCCGAACGGTCTCTTGAGCAGCCCTGTAGGAAGCAACCATGGAAACCAAAAGGGTGCCACGTAACACTTGTTTGCATACTACAAGGGCCTAAATCCATGTCAGGTACCGTATACTATAATCATATAAGGGATATGGAACCATAATATTATTTTGGCCCCCATATTACATCGTTCACTGTTCTTTGACAAGCTTTGGAAAGTTGATGCCGGATGTTTGGTGATGCTCTGGCCTCAGGCGTAGGGGGTCACCCTGTTTGGGGCCCCAAGCACCCATCCCGAACTTGCACGAGAAGTGCGAAGTCTCTTCTCAAACTACACAGGCCCAAATTGCAGTCCTTGCAAGGGGAACAGGAACGAATAAGGCACGTTAAGGTGCAATTTGGTTTTGCAGGACTGGGACACTTCGACTCTCATGAGCAATTGAATACATTGTCAAGAACCGAGGAAGTCTTGGCAAGGGCCTGCTTAACACAGCGGAGGCTTGCGGTGGCTGGAGCTGGGAAGGTATCACAATGACGAGTATCAGTGGATACTTCAACATTCACGTACCCGTCCCACGTTCTTGAAGTGCTCCGAGTTCCTGGCACTAACCGCCGATCCCGCGCGAACGGCACGAGATCTGCTATCGTCTTGCGCCCTTGTGGATCCTGCAAATGAGAAATATTGAGGCCGAAGAGTGCAAGACTACAGTAGGTAAGGTTGTTGCAGAGTAGGGCCTTAGGCAGATAACCTTGAGAAGTGGCAGACATCTTGCTAATTGCAACACAGACAACCCTGTCCTGTACCCAGTGCCTTGAGATAGCGTGACTTCTGTGATTCCGATTGTTTCCACCAAGGTAAGACTCTTGATCCCTGACAGGGTATGATGGGATTAAATAAGGATTGTCATATGAGCTATAGTCTAGACTCCTGGATATCCCCCTTCATAACACCTCTAGTGATCCCCCATATACCCCCCCTATATAACCCTCTTGAAGAAGTTCAGACTATAGCTGATATAGGGATTAATCCTAAATCCCAAGCCCTAAGTCCTAAACCCTACACCCTCAATCCTAGACCCTAAATCCTAAAAACGAAATCCTAAACCTACACCCTCAATCCTAAACCCTAAATCTTAAACCCGAAATCCTAAACCTTAAACCCTAAATCCTAAACCCTAAATCCTAAACCCTACACCCTCAATCCTGAACCCTACACCCTCAATCCTAAACCCTAAATCCTAAACCCCAAATCCTGAACCCTAAGCCCTAAATCCTAAACCCTTAAGAATCTTACTCTGGTAGCTGGCGCCTACACTACGGCAGTCCCAGCCTCAGTCCCCGTTCGCGAAACCAAGCAATAGCAGGATAGCCCGCAAGAAGCATCTTCCCTTTAGTTTAGGATATTGGGGTTATATTGGGATATTGGAAAAGAAAATGGAAACTACTATAGTATATTGGGGTTATATCGGGGTTATATGGAGACCCTCCAATGCTGTTCCATTTTGGGTTTGGTATGGTTTTTTTGATTAGGACTCTTATTAGGATTACCAAAAAAGTACTACATTGGAGGGTCTAGGTAAGGGTTATGTAGGGTTTCGGGTTTAAGGCTTGTGGTTGAGGGTTTCGGGCTTAGGGATTGGGATTTAGGGTTAAGGATTATAAGGGTTAAGGGTATCCAGGAGCTGAACAATTTTCCGTATGTGAGCTAGTTCTCATATCCGAAATGCCGAAGCTTCACCAGGATAATCGGCTTTAAAGTGCCCGGGCACACATGTGGCAGGGCTTGTAGAACAGGCCACTGGCAATGTTCTAGGCCTGTTTCCGTACCATTAAACCTAAACCCTAAACTGTAAACCCCAAACCCGTTTAAGAAACCTCGATCCACAATGCAACTTAACAACCGGTTTGTTGTACCTCTAGTGCCTTACACGCACCTAAAGAGGGCCTGAAGAGAAATTCATGACTAACTTGTAACTCGAGCCCTGCGGGTCCCCACCTCGAGGGTCACCAGTGTGTCCTGTCAGGTTCCCTTTTTGCAGCTTGTAGGGGTAGGGTTTAGGGTTTAGGGGGATTGGATACCCAGAGATTGCAAAGATAACCGAAGGCGTGTAGAGTTCATGTGTAGGGGAAACTACTGAATTAAGGACCTCTCTCTCGGGTGACCGAACACACGGTTGAATCAGAAATCTTGGCAAGCCCACGATCTCTCCAAATCCTGACCTGGAGAAACACCCACTGTCTATCCAGCTCACGCATAGCACGCTTTGATTTTTCATACTTGACGTCTTGATCACATTCGTACCTTCTGCGAGGGCTGGTCATTTTCTAGCGCTTGTCTCCAAACCTTCGTCGAGTGGTGTTCTCAAGGTTCTCCCGCGGGGGGGTGGCGGATGCTTGCGGACTGCAAATAGGGTGGCATCAGCTATTGTCAGGATGTGTAGTAACACAAATCAGAAAGCCCCGACATAGTCCCATGTACCCCAAGCCCTGGCAGAAAGTCTGCAACCTGTGGGAGCTGAGCTACTTGAGGTCCCCCTTGCAACAGAAGGCTTGGGTCCAAAGGCCCAAAGCAGTTCAGAGGTTCTACACACAAATAGACAGCTGACTCATGTTGATACGCTTCTTCAGCTCAAGAAATCCCAAACCTATGCTAAACCCTAATTACTAGGTTGGCCCCTAAAACCCTTTGAACAATATTGGTATATACGGTCCTCTATTAAAGCCATTAGGGAAAATATTAAATATCCTAGGGGCCTACCCAGATAAATGGCACTAAGGTAGAAGCATACATATTCTATTGCCCATAATGGAAAATTCAGTGGAAAAGTGTGTGGACAATTAAATGGAAACTCGGGTCGCATAGCGTGTATAGGGATTTCAGCGAAGGGGCCTAAATAATGACCTCCATATTATTTCTGAGCTGTATTTAGATGTGAGATGCCCTCTACCAGATTTTTACAGGGAATCTACTACCATAGTATTAGTCGTAGCATCCCCAGCAACCCTAGTTTCGATTTAACTTCCATGTTTCATGCTACTCTCTACTGTTGGTCAAAAGATTGGCCCCTGTATTGCACCCTAAACCGTGAATCCTGAAGTCCTTTCGCCCCCTCGTCCCCTGAATCGGGAGCCTTGGGCTTGTGCACCATCACCCAAACCAACTCATCCAGGGTTCGCAGTCGTTGCTCCTTGACACAGCATTAAGGGGCTAGGATGGTGTCTTGCTTTGTCGCGGTTCGTGCGTGGCACCTACAATTGCTAAGCTGATGCCAAAACTCAGGAGTACTGTGTCGGAGTGAAGCCCTGAGTTTTCGCGCTTTTTGCTCAGAACTTCTATAAGCTCAGTAATACCGCGGACCCATGAAGAAACCGGGAGACGTCGAAAACTTGGTAACTCGGAGATACCCTTATGCGCGGCTTGTACTTGCAAAGCTTTTTGTCTTTCGAATTGTGCGTGTGATAGGGTTGCCCGAAGAAACTGCCTTGGCAAGTGCCCACGCGCTGTGCGAATGCTGCACGTAACAATATGCTGACTGCAACACCAAACACAGCGACTGCCGCCTTTTTCCGGGCGTAGAGGGTTTCTCACATCAGGGGCCCCTCAGTTTTTTTGGACCTGCAAGGGCATGATTGGGTCCTTTGTCAGGTTTGAATGGCAATAAACTTGAAAAACCTGAGAAAATCCTTCACCCATTGAAGAGCCTGCATACCCATCAACAGTACTACTCCTTCCACTTGTTTCTGGCCTCTCTACCCGCAAAAGAAAGGGCCCCGCGAACCCTGGACCCTAAACCCCTAAACCATTTACAACAAAACCCTAAACCCTAAACCCTAAAGTCCCATGCCGCGGTCCTTGCCATCCACCGCAACCGAGTCCTGCTGACTGCATGGTTTAGGGTTTAGGGGTTTAAGGTTTAGGGCTTAGGGTGTAGGGGTTTAGGGCTTTAGGGTTTAGGGGCTTAGGAGTTTCAGGTTTAGGGCTTAGGCTGTAGGGGTTTAGGCTTTAGGGGTTTAGGGCTTTAGGGTTTAGGGGCTTGAGGTTTAGGGCTTGGGTTTTATGGGTTTAGGGCTCGAGGGTTTAGGAATTCGGGTTGGTTCAGGGTTTACAACGCTTACGGATTGGGGGCCCGGGCTTCAGCTTGAGGGTTTAGGGATTCGGGTTGGTTCAGGGTTTACAATGCTTACGGATTGGGGGCCCGGGCTTCAGGGTTAGCAGCAGGGATGGCGGTTTTGAAGCCGGGCCGGCCTTCAGAACAATTTGCAGAATCTGAGCTTCTGCTTCCGGGTCCTTAAACCTACGTACAGTACTAGGATTCTAGAAAGTCAGTCCCCTTCAGCGCTAGTAAGCAAGATAATAAGAAACAGTAATAGCTCTGAAAGTGTAGAGTTTAGAGTACAGGACGCAAGTGGATTCTGGCCTCCTGCAATGCTATGGGTAGTCCTTGCCTACTTACTTGACCGAAGCACTGGGGCAAGCATTGTACCGATATGTAGGCTCCTCATCTAAGAGGCCTCACTCCATTAGAATGGACTATAAGATCCGCATGGAACGGCCCTAAACCCTAAACCCTCAGCAATTCTAGCACCCAAAGCAAGCATATGGCAAACCAGGCCTGTTCACAAGATAAGACAGGAAGGAAGCTAGCCTTGCTAGCTGTCTGGTCCAAGGAACCCATCAAGTGTAGTATATGCCCTTGCTGTAGTATACTGGTTCAGGGCAACCCACATGGTCAGCGCTGTCCTTCTTCGGGTCCACTTTCACCACTGGATCCTCGCTGTAGCATGTGAAACAAGCAGATCCACCTATAAGCAGTAACCGCCTCTCCTTGAACCTGCCTCCGGACCACCAACATATTGGGAACTCCACTGATTGATATTAAAGGTGGAAATGTTCATCATGAAGGGGGTTGGCAATGCATCATCATCTTCGCGATGTGAGTCGCAGCTAAGCTATGCTTGTCATGCCTGCAAATTCTCAGCATGTGGTGCATCGGTCTATGATCCTTCACGACCTCGCTGTTGATGGTGATCCGGCCTGTGCATAGAGCCAGCTACCAAAGCGTGATCCGCAGGGCATCTTGGACTATGATTTGGCTGGCTGATCATATCAAAGAAGGAGGCCGTCTGCCCATGTTCCAAAAGATCTCATTAAGCAGTGCTAGCTTGGATGTGGCTATAACCCAGCCTTGGGAATTTGATTCATGCCACAAAATCGTGACCCTGAACTGAGCAGAGTATCAGCCAAGAAGAATCCCGCTGCCTTGTAGAACCAATTCCGTCACTCGGCGCCGAGAGCAGACTCCAGAATGCGACAGAAACTTTGACAGCCACACCTGGCGAAGACATTCTACATCCTATTTGGGTTGGGGGCGGGGCATACGGGTCACAGAGGGACATATTGAAGCTCGGGTGAAATAGTTGCCCACAATTACGATGGGTTCCCGGTCTACTCCCGCCCAGTCTAACCTGCAAGGTTACGCCTGAATTTTCCTTAATCACCTCTAAGTAGACATTACAGACATGGAGCAGACAATGGAAGCTACGGTGTTGTTTAGGGCTTAAGGGTTGGAATGACGGAATGTAGAAGAAATGGAGGCTACCATGGAACTGGGGACTGTAAAACGGCTACCATAGGGTTCCATTTCTCTCTTCCCAACTCAGGTAAGTCTGGGCTGCCTTCGCTGGATTGGGCCTACTCGCAGGGCCACATATCTTATCCACCTTACTGGCCCTAAGCTTACTACACTCCCCCAAAACAATGGAAGATCAATAAGGACCCATGTAGACCCAGGTCCTTTGGGGCTCCAGGTTAGCTTGGTTTATTGGTTCTTAGTAGGGAGTAAGGGAATAGAATCCCTACGTATACCTTCTATAATGTATTCCCTGATTCGTTACTAAGCCACGAAACCCTAATCCCTAAACCCTTAACCCCAGTAAACTGGGGGATGTAGAATCCCGCGGAGCCATAAATCCGGCGTGACTGGCCTCATCATTTCCGATGGCCGCCTGGTCGCCTTTTAGCGACGAAGTGCGGAGGTCGTCCTGCAATCCAACACAGGCATCTATGCTGACCAAAGTCTAAAGGCTTCGGGTGTAGGATTTAGGGTCTTAAACTAGTAATAGTAATTATAGTAACAAGAATAATAGCTAGTAGTAATAATGACAGTAGTAAAATAATGACAGTAGTAAATTATTGATAAAAATGGCAACAATGATAATAATAACTCTTTGGCCTTGGCTTCTGTAAAAAAAAACACTCGATGTGGGCCGAAGTCACCGTAATTTACTAAGTCAATGGAATTAGCATCCCAGGAACTCAAATAACTCAAAGTAGCTGTAGACTTTGTGGCTAAGGACAAAGTATAGACTTCGATCCCTGGGCCTTAGGGCTCAGGGTTTACAGTTCTAAGAACTATTCTAGATGGTTTTAGCCACTTTTACTTCCTGAAGGTGAAGTCTTTACATGCCGAACCCAAATATGTGTGGTAACGGCGTTTTAGTTGAGGCAGCTGGCCCCTAGCATAGGTGTGGTTGCAGTCTGGCTTACTGTCTAGGCCAGACATCATCGCTGCACAAAAATCCTAAAACCCTAAATTCTAAATCTTAATAAGCCATAATGCCCCAGTCCTTGGCTACATCCTTCCAGTTGAAGCGCGGACGCTTATACCTGCGCGAGGCTTTCTGTAGTCTCTGCGGATTTTCTCTGCTTTGTCAACACCAGAAGTTAACGTCAGAATGACGTGGCTCGTGCAAGGTTGAGACCGTTCTTTGGCACTGGGACAGACCTAAGGTACATGTAGCCGGCATCCTAGGTGCTGCCCAGTCATTTGAATATACTTGAGCATGAAGGGTCCTATCTAATACCAAACTACTGCAGCCCTTTTCCTCTCAGACTGGGATAGGCTTGATCCACAGATCTGTCCACAATAAGCTTGCTGTTCAAGCCGCAGGTTTTACCCTAAACCCTTTGTTACTTTGACCTAAAACCATGGTTTGCAATGCCTCTTTTGCAAGCCTTGAATTCCAAGTTGCCCTAGTGGCCCTGGTGTAGATCCTTTCACAAAAAAACAGTGTCATATTCCATGGTATACTATAACATACTGTACAATACTAAAGCATACGATATTATGTTAGCCCACATTCCCCTAGGAAGAAAAAAGGATCCTTGTTACAAAAATATATGGGATCCCATACCCCCAAAAAGTATAAAGGATCCCTACCATTGATCCATTATGTTATATGAGCCATTGTCTAGACTCCAAGTATTCCCCTTAATAACCCCTATAGTAGTCCCCTATACAATCCCGCATATAACCCCCCTTTAAGGAGTTTAGACTATACCCTAAACCCTAAACCCTAAACAAACCCTAAATAGTAGTTTCCGTTCTATTTTCCATTATCCCTTTCTAAACTCTATATAATCCCCTCTATAAACCCCCTTTAAGGAGTTTAGACTATAGCTCATGTTATAACATCCTGTAAGGTGTCGCGAAGCCAGACATCCAGAGCACCCCACGCTCAAGATCCCTCTGTCCATTTCAGTTTCCATCTCCTTTCCCTCGGGATTTTGCATTATGCCCAAACCCTACAGGCCATAACTATCTAGGGAATGTACCCCTATAGAAAACTCTAAGCCCGTAATCATTTAGGTAACTTAGGGTGCCTCTAGCGAACCCTCAACCTTTAGCCGCTTAGCCCTTGGATGGCACATGGTCCGCAGCCGCGAGGCGTTTTTGTCAATGTCCTGCTTGAAGGGTCAAGGGGACTTAGTAAGTAGGTTAATAATGGGGATAATTGGGGTTATAGTCCCCCTGAAGTAGATAGAATATGGAGTCTATGGGGATCTTATTATGATGTACCCCAAAGCCATATTCTATCTACTTTAGGGGGACTGTAGGCATTGGGGTAGGCTTATAGGGGTTATTAACCTACTTACTAAGTCCCCCTGACCCGTCAATGTCCTGGGGCTTCTATGCAAAGAGGAAATCCAGGGGATGAAGGCTGTGGAGGAGTCAGGGCTGAAGCTTTAAAGATATAGTAATAGTAATGACCATAGTAATAAGAACAGCAATAATAATGGAAAACAGTCATAACAATAAAAACAACTTGTGTTTTCTGAGGACGGTTTCCTTCCTTTGACTGTTTCTTATTTGGGCTTCAGAAATTCCGGTCGCCAGACTCGGGTTGCTTGGTTGAGGGATTAGGCATTCAAAGCTGTACGAGCTTGCGTTAATGGACATACGGTGTGGAGACGACCTGAACCTCTTCAGACTAAAGGAACTGTACTGGGAACCCCAAACAGGGAACCCCAAGCTCAATAAACCACCCAAAGCAATTATTGTAATCCGTGCATCTCGGAACCCTGACCCTGAACCCGGGAACCCTAAACCCTCAAATCTGAACCCTAAACCCAAAATCTGAACCCTGAAGCCCTAAATCTGAACCCTAAACCCGCCACCTGAACCCTAAACCCTAAACCCCTGAACCCTAACACCCGAAATCTGAACCCCATGCACTAACCACTGAACCAGAACCCTAAACCCCAAACCCTAAACCCCAAACCCTAAACCCCTGAACCCCAAACCCTAAATCTGAGACCTAAAACCTAAACCCTAAAGTCTCCTGGACCTCATCAAACCTTAAATCCCTAGATAGTAGCTTCCATTTTCTTTTCCATTCTCCTTATAAACCCTAAACCCTAAACCCCCACATAACCACATGTAATAGTGTGGATAGGCAGGTCTCCTGGACCCCATCCAAGACCAAATCCTAAACCCTAAACCCCAAACCCCACACCCCAAACCCTAAACCCCAAACCCTAAACCCCTGAACCCCAAACCCTAAACCCCAAACCCTAAACCCCAAACCCTAAAGTCTCCTGGACCTCATCCAAGACCTCGCCTTTGGTCCATCGTCTCTGCCGATTTCGTCCTCGTCGCTTTCCTTTGGGATCCTTGGAGTTGAACAGGGTATCTTGCGGTTTAGGGTTTAGGGTTTAGGAGTTAGGGTTTTAGGGTGGTGGCTAGGTATATAGGGATTTTTGGGGTTATACAGGGGTTATATAGGGATAATGGAAAAGAAAATGGAAACTACTATAATGGGTTATATAGGGTCTAGGAAATAGGGTTTAGGGTTTAGGGTATAGGGTGAAGCTGGGTTTAGGGTTTAGAAAATAAGGTTTAGAAAGTTGTATGTAGGGTTTAGGAAAGAAGGTTTAAGGTGTGGGAAATAGGGTTTAGGGTCCAGGAGACAGGGTTTAGGGTTAAGGAAATTGGGCTGAGCGTTTAGGGTTTAGAAAGTTGGGTTTAGGGTTTAGGGCTCCGCTATAACATCATGAACGTGTAGTCCCCCTTAAGTAGATAGAATATCGCTTTGAGTATATTATAATAAGATCCCCATATACCCCATATTCTATCTACTTAAAGCAGATTATATTTACTACCAGAGGGGTGCTCTTTGTTCGAGGAAGAGATGAAGATACAGCGTTCAGGGTACTCAACTAAACCAGCTGATAACAACTTTGGCAGGTTGCCATACAATTTGAAAACTACGAGGGGATCCTCCCAAAGGCGTTGGGGAGAAGCCTGGTTGTGGTAGGAAACTTGGCATCTACATTCCTTCCTGAAGTGGCTCGATGACTGTTAAAATGACACGAAAGACCCTCATGTGTGAGCCTCTTGTTGAGAACTCACAAGTCTTGGCTACTCATGGAACATGGAAGACATTACTTGCAGTCAAACTGCAAGGACCCACTTCTTGCCGTAAGCCGGGTCTTTCTTTTCCTCCTGGTTGGCTTCTAGCCACGCTGCCCGTCGCCTGAGGCACCAGCTGACAAGGTTTTCAATTGAAGAGCAGGGGTCAGGTAAGTCCTCTCCCCAAAGACGAACAAGACTCTCAAGGAATATCTTTACAATGGGTGGTCAATCTTGCCATCTGCATGCGCGTTGGCGTATGCCACGTGGCGGGACCTCTTCTTGCGAGGGGCTCCTCGGTCCTGGCACGCAGCACTACAAATTCCTTCAAACGAGTCATGAAGCATGCCTTCGTAGGATGCGTCAGAATGCTCTTCATACTGTATTGGGAGCACTTCGCAATCCACAATACCTTCTGAATGCCAAATGCTTCGCTTCATCTGCAGAACGTGCAAACGATATGCCTACCTAGGCCGGTAGCTGAACACTTCTTTGTCACCATCAGTGGCCGTCATGATGGTTTCAACAGCAGTAACGGCCACAATGTTCGCAAAGCTACGCAACATCGCAGTGATGAAATAATGACAGGACATCATGGCCTGACTGGAAGTACAGTAAGAGCAACAGTCAGAATATTTGGCGCCGTCTTCCATCGGCGTCATCATCAACACCATCATATCATCACAATGATAGCCGCTATCATCATGATCTTGATCATCATCATCCTCATCCTCATCCTCGTCATCGTCATCGTCATCGTCATCGTCATCGTCACCGCCGCCGCCGCCACCAGCACCAGCACCACCAGCACCAGCAGCACCAGCAGCAGCACAAGCAGCACCAGCAGCACCAGCAGCACCAGCAGCAGCACCAGCACCACCATCGACAGCGTCGTCAGCATCCTTGTCATTGCGGGCTCCAATGTTCTAGTTCACCCAGAGGTCATGGAAACTTGAACCCTGAAGGAGGAAGACCCCCCGCGCTTTCAAGTGTACTTGGGATCGCAGCGCAAGACCCCTCTGCGGCGTAGGAAAGAAGGACCATCCTTGTTCCTTGTCATTAACATCTTGGCCATTGTCACCATCATGCGAAGATGAGAACTACAAGCACTGCACTAGACTGTTCGCTCAACACCCCCCGCCCCCTGATGCAAAACAGCCTCAGTGGCATATCAATTGGCGTCATACGAAGAACCATCAACACAGCTTTGTCCGATTCATGTAGGTAGCCAGGATGATATTATCGGGCTGCCTCCTCCTCGTCCTGAGGCTTGTCTGATGTGTACATGCTAGACCTGGCAGACACTCAGTGCAGATCTAAGTGTCTTTAATTCGGGGTGCATGTAGGGTTTAGTTATTGGTACGGAAGAACGGATCTCTACAGTAGTCCCTATACCATCCCCAAGCATAATCCGAATATTCCTGCTTATGCCTGCAAAACCGCCAGCGAGTTTAGGGTTAGCCAGGTCTTGGGATAAACAAGTCCATGCTTCACGAATAAGCCTCACAGATATTGGGGGAGCTTATGGGGGCCGGCTACTATGGAAGTCCATGCCTCAAAGCCCGTCCCTGTCTGCTTCAGTATACTTAGGGTTGAGGGTTGAGGGTTTAGGGTTTATCCTTTTGGAGTAGGAAAAAGATTCGATGCGGGTCCATGGTGGCAGCCCGGCAGGCTGCTTCCTGTGTATCGCAGCTCGTCTCTGTCTAATGTCTACGTGCATATATGCAAATGAATCTATATATATATATTATATGTGTATGTATACCCTAAACCCTAAACCCTAAACCATATATACATATACACATATATATATATACATATATATATATATGTATTCCCTCATTCCCTACTAACCACCAGTAAGCTTAGCTTTTCAGCCCAGGGACCTGTAGACCTGGTGGAAGAGCTTCTCCCCGGGCGCCATGTCAGGCCGCCGCGGCGTCCTAGGGAATTAGGTTTTAAGGATGAGGGTTTTGGGGTTTTGGTGTTTTCCGGGTTTAGAGTTTTAGGGCTTTGAATTTGGGGTTTAGGGTTTTAAGGCTAACGGTTTAGGGTTTAGGGCTTAAAGAAGGGAATCTTAAACTTGCTGGGGTTAGCACGGAATAAAGGAATATATCATTTAGGGTTTAGGGTTTAGGGTTGGTTGGAATCAAGGGCATAGATTAAGGGTTTAGGGATATAAAAATATTCTATGGGACCGCATTCCATAACTCTCTACTAGCCACCAGTAAGTTTTAAGCTTTGCGGATATTGCTCTCAGGGCTTTGTAGGGAGTAAGCAGGGGGTTACACAGGGGCTTTATCGGGATTATATGAAAGTAATACGGCGGTTTCGGCCTTAGGGCTTGGGATTTAGGATGTCTTAGGTAGTGCCACGCAGTCTGATGACCTCGTCATCTTGTCCCATGCGGGCGTCTAGAACATCCAGTGCCCTGCAAAGGGTTTAGGGTTCCTGCAATATCCAGTGCCCTCAGGTTTCGAACGCGAGGAATCTTTTCACAGAGTTTCAACAATCTCACGTTGCTCAGATGACCTTGTGAAATTAGGGCTTGTGGAAATGCCCGAACCTACCTCCAAAACCAAATCCCTAAACTTACCAGCTCCAGCTCTAAGCTCCCAACCCTCAATTTCCCAAACGTCCTTACTTTTGCAACTTCCCCAAATTTGTCTGCCCAAGCGTCAGGTGATCCAAAGGGTCGACGTCGTCATCGCGTCTCCGTGCCGCCAGTGCAACCTTTCGCTTGAACAGCTCTGCTTTGCGTTTCAGGGCTTAGGGCGTAGGGTTTAGGGATTTTGCTTTACATGCGTTCTAGGGTTTATGGGTTTTAGGTTTAGGGTTTGATTCCTGTCTTCGCGACTCTACGGGGAATGCTTTTTAATCTTACAGGATTTGAAGTTTAGGCCTGGTTACAAGGCTTTGTTTTCAGGGATTATTGGAAGATCCTGTGAGAACTGTGGGGAGTCCAGCTAGGGCTTTGTCAAAACAAGGTATGCTCCTTTTGGAACATGTTTCTGGGAACGCTCACGAAACTCCGTGCCTGGTCCCTATGGACACAAAAACACTGACCTACTATGGATGGAAGAAACCTTTTACCACATACGGCCTCTACCTCTAGGAATTACAGAACTATGGCATTTTGTCGTGCCTCCATCCACCAACAACCAGAAAGAATAGACAGATCCCGGGCCTTGCACGCGCTGTGTCTGGGGCCTGCTCGTGACCTGGCGAGAACTGCAGGCCAGTGAACATTACGCTCTACGGGGTCAAGTACTGCGCAGCTGCCCTAGTGTCCCCATACCTGACAAAAAAAAGATACCAAGCACCATCCCAGCATGATGTTTGGTTCCTAAAGTTCCTGAAGCCAGAATCTTGGGGTATCTACATGGCTCGGCTTCTCAGAATCTCAGCTATCGTGCTTTGTAGTTGGTGGCGCCGCATATGAGTAAGCCTGATTTGACAGCTCACGAATACTTATCAGCAAGTAGCGGATGACACAAACTGTTGAAGCTGAGCTGCTTCTCCCCGGCTTGCAAACAAAGAGCATCTAATCCCTTGAAGTTGAGCTTTAAGCCTTCAGAATTAGGGTTTAAGGGCCCTGAAGCCCTAAACCCCTGAGGCTCCCATACCCCGGGGTTCTGAAAGCTCAAAACAATAACCCCCCCAAGCAACCTGACCTAAAACCCTTCGCCCGCCTCCCTTTCAGCATGTAGGCTGCAATGAGGCCCAATCCGGCACCTTCAGCTCTCAGCTAACCCAGACCCTTAAAGGGATCTAAAAATTCTATCCCCTAGAACCATATGGGAAATTATATGAGGATTATGTAGGGGTTATAATGGGTCTAGATAGAGGATCTAATTTTTAGATCCTCCCAGGGGTCTGGGAAAGTTCTTTTTGAAAATTGAAGCCATCGGCCGAGCAGGTACCGAGCATTGGATCCAACTACAGTTTTAGAGTTGACAGTTAGCCCTGAATAGCATCCCTTCTGTAGGCACTACATAATCCCACCCCCCTAGAAAAAAGGCCCACCCAAAAAATGAATATTCTCTATGTTTAGTCATATACCACAATAGAAATATTCAATATTAGGGGGGTGATGTTCTTTTATATACTAGGGAAGGGGATTATCATTGAGACCTTCGAGCTCCTCCTTCAACTAGGGGGAGCCAACACCTAGGAGGGCAGGAATTAAAGCTTTGGACTACGGAAGGCGGGCCAAGTCTAGGATTTTAGTCCCCTAAACCCTAAACCCTTAGGGCTTAGGGCTTAGGGGCCGTGTCTCAGGGTTCTAGCGTCCCAAGTTCTGGGCTTAGAGCCCTAAGACTCAAGATGCTGCGAGGTATGGCTGTTACATCATGGGTCCCCTCTATACTACCCCCCTAGGTTCCCCCTGAACTAACCTTGATCAAGCCTAATTTTAGGGGGGAAAGCAGGTGTGGGGGTAGTATAGAGGGAGGTAGTAGGGAAACTTCGGTCGCAAGGATGTCGTGAGAAGGATGAGATTGCGCCATTGAGAGACATCCGGCAAGTCTCCAGTGGCTCAGAAGCCGCAAGTGCTGCCCAATCTCACCGGACAAGGGCACCGGTGTGACCATGCATCTAGTCAATGAACCCTACACTTGAACCCTAAACCCCCAAATTCCTAAACCCCTAAACCCTGCTAAACCCCCCAAAACCTAAGCCCTGAAACAATATATCCCATGCAAAAACCCTGCAGTGAAGACTTTGCGGCGACAGGGACTTAAATACAGGGCTGTGTGAGCTACAGTCAATATTTGCCACATATTTTAATGGACCTGGGTTGAGGATTTAGGGTTTAAACCCTAAACCCCAAAACCCTGAACCCTGTTAAACTACAAGAGGGACCCTCCATGATCACCCCTATTCGCCCATTGGAAAAGCTCATATTTACAGTGGCTCATATGAACCCTAAACCCTAATTTAGGGTTTAGGGGTTTAGGGCTTAGGGTTTAGGGGTTTAGGGTTTAGGGGTTTGGAGTTTAGGTGTTTAGGGTTTAGGGAGGATCTGGGAGCGCATCAAATTTTTTGATAACACCAAATTAAGAAACCCGACATATTGCCAGAAGTATTCGCGGATAATCCTTATGTAACTATCATAGAGTATTCCCGAAATTAACGCCTGCTCTACAAACCTGCAAGCAGTTCCTATAAACCACTATCATATCCCAGCTTTCTGTCATTTTCTACTTTTCTTCTCTGTTAGAGAGTCAAATATTCAAAAGCCTCAACGCTGAACAATACACATCCCGAAAACGGCATTTCCCCGCCATGTTCCATTGCTTTTTTCATTTGAGTAATGTTTTTTTGGTGGTTGAACCCAGTAAGATTATATTCCATATAATCTTACTATACCCCAAAAGGAGGATATAATCTTACTCTATATTGGGTACCATAGTATCCCCAAATAAAATACTACTCATTTGGTCCTAAGGTCCTAGGCTGTTTCACTTCCTGAGGCCGCTTCGGGCCTTTAAACTCTAGACCCGTAGACGAAATAGTAGCTTCCGTTTCCCAAACCTCAAAACCCCCCTAAATGCTGTACCCTAATCCCTGACCTCAGACCCTAAACCCTAAACCCCTACAGTCCCCCTAAAGCAGATGAAATGGTATAGTAAGATCTCCATATACCCTAGATTCTATCTACTTAAGGGGACGAAGCCCCCTAATCCCTAAACCCTAAACCCAATATATACCCTGTTAAAATACCCTGAGCCCTAAACCCCTAACCTCAGACCCTGGCCTGGCAGAATACCAACATCTCCCCTGGCTGTTTGTGGTGACTGGGATCCCCTGGCCGCATGTTTTTTTAAGGGTTTAGGGTCGGCATGCTCCGGTTAGGGCCGTTTAGGGTTTAGGATTTAGGGTTAGGGTTTAGGGTTGCTTGGGGTGGATATGGATCCAGGGTGTTGGGGTGCCTAACCCCTAAACTCTAAAGAGTTTGAGGGTTAGTGTTCAGGACCTGAGGCTTAGGTAGGTTTCTGAGGCTTAGGTAGGTTTATGGCAGAGGGTATAGCGTTCTAGCTCTGACCCTAGGCTCTAGGATTTGGGTTTAGGGTTTAGGGTTTAGGGTGTGTTGATGCTTGGTGGTGCGTCTGTTCTTTTGCAACTGGCCAGTTGGTACCTGGTAGTTTTCCTACATAGAGCGACCCTAATATAAACCCCAAAATACAAGAACGCCAGTAGTATAAGGATATATAAAATGGTACCCCTAATTTTGGGAAACCCCCATTTTTAGTTCTACACAAAACCGGGATTTGGGGTTCTCAGACTTGGAGGTGCGCGGAATGAGCATAAAAGTTCGGTGTTTTGAGGCTACTTAGGTCTACCGCCTAAGAGGAAGAGTTAAGAACCCTAAATAGTGGTTTCCGTTTTCTTTTCCATTACTTCAATATAGCAACCCTAAATAGGAGTTTCCATTTTCCATTACCCCAATATAATAACCCTAAATAGTAGTCTCCATTTTCTTTTCCACTACCCCAATATAATCCCTATATCCCCCCTATAGTACTATATTATCCGTATATTATTAGCATGCTTCCGCTTGATCGGAGAGCAAGGTCTTGCCTGGCGAGCACGCCGCTTAGCAAGCTACCAGCCCATTGAAGTTTATAGTCCCCCTTAATTAAATAGAATATGGGGTATATGGGGATCCTATTATAATTTACCCAAAGCCATATTCCATCTACTTAAGCGGGACTATACATTGGGCGTCTTTGGTGGACACGGCAATAAGCAGCTAACTAGTTGATGCAACACACACACATGCAAATTAAAAGCATATAGTGTGGTATATATGGAGTCATCTCCGTGGGACTTGCTCGGTACGTGTCAAGCTGCCATGCAACACATCAAGTGGCGCCTCCTTTCTTAGCCGGCCAGGGAAGAATATGCAGGGGTATGTTGGATCCACGGGTCAATGCAGGACTGGGTTGCTGGTAATGAACTTGAATTAAGTTACCATAGTGTTATACATGGTAAAGATTAGGATTTCCCCAATATATCAACTTAATCTCAGTCCCATCAAGTTCCTTAACAGCAACCCAGATGACACATCATCTTCTGCCACCTGCAAATCCACACCCTTCACGTGTCAGGGACCGGGACTTTCACAGCCGGCGGTCGGCCACTGTGTTTCAACATTTTGTACAGAAGGTTAAACCCTAAACCTTAAAGCCCTAAACCTAAAACCCTAAAGACCTAAAGCCCTAAACCCTAAATCGTGTTCGTACCTCTCCCAGCTTTGCCTTGGCCTTTTGGGCGGTAGTTTCGGCCACCTCTGGCCTGGTTGTTGCATGTGGGTGGTTATCAAAATTATGGTCCCTTTTTGGATCCCTGTTATAATACGGCACCTTGTATTCAGGGTACCCAAATAGGGACCATAATTTTGACAACCACCCATGTGGCCCTTCAGGGCACCACTCAGCCTGCCACGAGCAGAGCTCCCAGCAGTCTTAGGTGCTGCGTTGGATCCTGCATTTTCATGTTCCGGGTTTTGTGTAGGTTGTTGCCTAGCCTCCTGTCCGGGGTTTGCAAAGCCTCTTCTGCGCAGACTTCCGGCTTCCAGTTGAAAAAGAGTGCGTTTGGAAATAGATTACAGCATTAACGCGTCAGCTGGAAGCAGGACAGCTATCCGCGCAGACATCCCTTATCACATGGACCGGGCTTTGCCCTATTTGGAATAGAGATGCAGATCGGCCTGCAGGATTTTGCGCTATCAACAGATCCGTTGCGTTTGCTGAGTCTCGTGCGACAGCTTGTCATCAACCCTGTTCAGAGGTGGCACGGATTCGCGCGCTCATGTCCATCTTTTTCGCTCTTGCGGACGGAACATCGGCCACGTCGCGCTTGCAACACACAGCTGACCGGGAGGATGATGATCCAGGGCCCCCAGCCAACCCATTATATTAACCCCCAAACCCCAAATAGTAGTTTCCATTTTCTTTTCCATTATCCCAATATAACCCCAATATAACCCCTGTAATCCCTTATAACCGATTATTGTCACAGGAACACAGCCTCTTAGACTGGTGACTGGTGTCGCAGCTGAGCGTGATGAGCAGTGGCCTGCCTCATTCTGTGAGAGCAGTTCCTCTCAGTTTCCTTTTGGACCTGGATGCTAGGTCCACTGTCACTGAAGTGCTTCGGATTTCTTGGCTTGAGTTGGTTTTCATGCTTCATCTTGGTGATGTCTTTCCTTTTTGCTTGTTGCTTCGGCAGTGGATGGCACCTGGGTCTTGGCAGGTTCTTTGCCGTCCACACCTCAACAGCCATCTGTCTCGGTTCGACCCCGCATTATCCGGCAGGCCGCTACATTAGCCGCCCGGATTAGTTGTTCAGGCAGATTTGGGTCCATTGCAGGGAGAATGGAAAAGAAAATGGAAACTATATACTGTACTATAATGGGGTATATATTGGGGTTATATAGGGGATTATGGATAATAGGGCAGAATGGGTTGTCTTTGGTTGACGGTTTGGTCATGGGTGCTGACTCAACTGTGCTTTTCGAAGCGCGGACTGCGCTAGCCTGCTCTATCTACTGCCACAAGGGCAGTAACGAAGGTGGCTGGCCTTTCGAGGCCAATCTGAATTTCACCCCAACCTCGAACGAGGACGTGTCACTCCGCTCTCAGCTGAGCACACAACGCAAGCCAGCGAAGCATATAAGAGGATTACGGAGGTGCTTCGTCAGGATACAGGGATCATTTTGATAGACCCCCAAATCCCTTTATTCTCAAGCCCTAAACCAGGAAATTCCATTGAGCCCCAACTGCCTCAGTCGTCCCACGCGGCTGCTTGTTGCCTTAGAATCCTACTGCTGTTTAAGGGGGAATGACTATAGGTAGCAGTATAGGGATATTTGCAGGGATCCACTCCCCCACTCTCTGCTTTTGAGATTCATGTGGGCACAAGACGACGACAACCTTCTAACTGCCGTTGAACAATTCGTGCTTAGACCTAGCGCGGCTGTTTCTGGCAGGCCTTGAAGCATGACAGAAACTATGACAAATAATTCATGGGAGTGCAAAGCATAAGAAATCTTGGTTCCATTGGTGTAGACTCTGCAAGTCTGAGATGTTTCATTACAATCCCTTGTTGAGCTTCAATGCCGGGGTCTTAAAACCCTAAGCCCTAAGGGTTTTCCAATTCTTGAACACCCATTTCATCCTTACCACCTTAACCTGGGAATTGATCGCACCCCTGATCTGTGTTGTAGTCTAAACTCCTAGTATCCCCCTTAGTGACTCCTATTGTAGTCCCTCATATAACTCCCTTTGAGGAGTTTAGACTATTGCTCATCTGAACCTCCCAAAACCCTAAAACCTAAACCTTAATTCCCCGGGCACTAAAGCTTAAACCCTAGACCCTAAGCCTTAAACCCTAAACCTTAAACCCTAGGCCCTAAACCTTCAACCCTAAACCCTAGACCTTAAATCCTAAACCGCAAACCTTACACCTCCTCTGTCAAGGTCCAGGCAGGCTGTGGTGGGGAGCTGGTAACCCAGCCTGGGCCAAGGCCTCAAGCGTAGGAAATGAAATGGTTTAGGGTTTAGCGTAGCTGGATTTTTACAGGGACTTACAAAGATATAGTCCCCGCCCTTAAGTAGATAGAATATGGGATATGTGGGGATCTTTTTCTGATTATGGTCAAGTCCATATTTATTTACTTGCGGGGCATTATACGTGCTACCATTGTCATTATGGTTCTAGATTCCTTCTGTAAGTGAGCCCTTCTGAGGCGCTTCTCAATATCATGTGCCCTTCCAAAATAATGAGCATCATGGTATGTTGTGGGTGCATATAGCTCTCGACACGAAGCAAAACACCAACTTTCAGTTTCATAGGGGCCTTCATAAAGACAGCGAGAAAGCTTGCGATGACCATGCAGGCTTGCTCGCACCGCTATAAATTCTGGCAAGAAATGCGTGGTTGCTCAACCCTAAACCACACTTTGTTTCAAATGTACCGGCTGAATCAAAAAGGGCTGTGTCTCATCCGCAGCACACCAAAAGCAACAGGCAATTTCTCACGGTTTAGGCCTTAGGAAGCCCTCCATTCTCGGCCTTTATCAACTCCATCAACTCCGGATGACCCCCATGCAGCCCCATGCCAACCAAGCGCAAGCCTTCATCACAAGCACAGCCGCAGCAATAGCCTGAACAAGCCTGGAGAATTACAACACCATGCATGGGGAGTTCTTGAAATCGGGAGCCCTAGCAACCCCATGCATATATAGGGCTTGAAAATCAATTCTAGGAGTATCCCTTAGGTATGACACAGGGATTTGTGTAAGAAACTTTCATATCACAACCCCTAAGCCCTAAACCCCAAACCCCTAAACCCCCAAACCCTACACCCTAAGACCGAAACCCCTAACCCCCTAAACCCTAAGCCCTAAAACCTACACCCAGGGATGTTGCTGAGATGCAGGCTGGTAGGCCAACCACTCCAGACCTGGTTGAGGGTTTAGGGTTTAGAGTTCAGGATTTAGGGTTTAGGGTTTAGGATTTAGGGTTTAGGATTTAGGGTTTAGGGTTCAGGAGTTTGGGGCTTAGGATTCAGGGTTTAGAGTTTAGGGATCGGATTTTGGGTATAGGTTCACCCAAATATTCTTGCAGCTTCGTAGTAATCACCACTTTATTCGGTATGAGCAATAGAGCTGTAGGTACTTTGGGATTTGTGGGTTAAGGGTTTAAGGGTTGGAAAGCAAGGATCTGAGGGTTATATAGGCGTCTTAACACTAACCCGACACCCTTATACTTCTAGATTATAGTTACCCTAAACAGGGATTATGTGATATATATTGGGGTTAAAAAGGGACTTTAGGATATACTTATAGATTAGCATGCGGATCCAGAGGGGCCACGGAGGTGGATAAGAGTTTTGGGGGTGAGGGGCTCACGGGCGCGGAGGCAGATACTGCAGTGGAGCAACATGAACAGCACAGAAGATATGCAGGGAAGAAACCAATGACCCTTGTAAAGCCCCTAAACCCTAACATACAACTATTGGAGGGTCTGAATAATGGGACCAGGCCCTACCCTACCCTTCTAACACGTACATTGGGCCTATAGCCTAGAAATAATGCCTATATTGGGCTATTTAGAGCCTTAGGGCCATTTAGGCTCTAACCCCCGAAGCCCTAAACCCCATGTGAGCCATGGTCTAAACTCCTAGTATCTCCCTTGAGAACTCCTATAGTAGTGCCCTGGCAATCCCTTATATGTAACCCCCTTTAAGGAGTTGAGATCCTAAACCCTAAACCCTGACACTAAACCCTAAACCTCTAGACCCTAAACTCTAATCCTAAACTCTAAACCCCTTGACCCTAAACCCGAAACCCTAACCTAAGGCCCGAGCTACGAAAGCCATATCTGAGAGCTATAAAGTGGCTCGCCTCTGCGTTTGAGCCGAAAATGGGCGTGGCAACAGTTCGTGATGGGGCTTGGCTCTTTAGGGCTTGTTAGGGTTTAGGCTGGATAAATTAAAGTAATGCCGAACTGTGAAGAAAGACCGCTTTGGGATTATATGCCATCTAAACCACCATTGAAGCTGAGTTCCCCAAACATTGTAGTCCTTACTCTGGGGACCCCCACCCCCAAAGTAACCCCCCCCCTAAATGTGGGAATGCCCCATATGGTAATTTCCAAAACAAAGAGACCCCAACATAGGCCCCAAAATACTCTAGTCCTTACTATGGGGACCCCAAAAAGGTACCTCCCAATTTTGGGAAACCCCCCCCATATAAGGTTGCTGAAGTTCTACACCAGGAATCTCATCATGTGGCCATGCCTAGCCTCAACTGGAAGCCCCTTCGGGGCTGGAAATGTGAAGGTCCTACGTAGGGGCCTCAATGAGGATCAATATTCTATAGGGGTTTCCCAAAATTAGGGGTATGATTTTGGGGGTCCCCTTCATAAGGATTATAGTATATTGGGGTATATATTGGGGTCTCCCTATTCATGGAAACTACCATAAGTATACCAGGAACCTAGGACCATCATATTGGCAACTGTTTACTATGCCTCGACACTACGCAAACCCCATAAACCCCTATATAAGCCCGGCTTCCATCTCATGTTTCATTTTCATTTCCATGGGGTAATCTCCCTAAAGCCTACTTGATTAGACCCCTCACATTACCCCTTTCCAGGTTGGAACTCGCAGCTTCTTCCTAGGATTCGAATTCTGCAAGCCTAAAACCCAGACCCTCTAAAGAGTCCAAGCATGGAACCCCCCAAAATTACATTGGAGAACCTCGGGGATTCTTGGGAGGTTCCATTTGTTGGAGCCTTCAGGGGGTCTGGGAACGACCAGGGAGCCGAGCCCTGAGGACTCATATATATCGGGCCCCATTTTGGGGGGGTTTCCATACTCACTGTTACAGAATATTGCAAAATGAATGGTAGTTTCCCAAAATAGGGGGACCCCAATATACTATAATCCTTAATATGGGGACCCCCAAAATGGTACCCCTAATTTTAGGAAACTCCCAAATGGGTCCCATTTTATCCAAGAGCCCGGTTGGATTTGCACCAGAATACTGAACTGAGCAAGCAGACATACCAAATGCAATCTCTACATCAAGCAGCCCACATCTACCCCTCCAGCCGGCACCCTAAACCCCAAACTCTTTTTTGTCATGTCGAAGCTGCATCTGTGTTCTCAGCATTTTCCGCTCGTGCCTGACAAGATCAAGGACACTCCCCCATCCCAATGGGTTTAGACTCTAGTTTCCTTAGACCTACAATAAGAAATATCTTCAATATTTCCTTAGGGTGATACTACAAAAAAACTTAAAAACAAGTCTTCAGGACAGTACAGCCAATGGGTTTAGAGCTTAGGGTGGCATAAGCTCCTGGACACTACTGGGCTCCGTAAACGGTATGCAGGGCATGAAATCTCCCCAGCAAGGAATTGCTCCGATACAAAACGGTCAACTACAAGCAAGACTTACCTTCTGGCAGTTATTGCAAGGCTGACCTGATTCAAGTCAGGTGTTGGATTTCATTGGTTGCCTGTTTTCTTGCGGAACTCCTTACAATCCTCCTTTAAAGTATACAAACCTTCCCGAAGTCCCTCAACATTAGTTGACGCCAGTATCTTTTCATTGACTATTGCACCTGCCAGCGCTGGACTTTAACACGCTCGATTTAATCACTCTGCAAGCACGTCCGTTGTGTTGTTTTCGAAGACAAAACGCACATGCCCTCAATAACACGGAGTACCCTAATAAGCGCATTTGTAGATCCATGAACCCTCTATAAACACTACATGAACCCGGTTTCTCAATGAATTCTCCATCTAAATCCGAAACCTTTAGCCCTACCAGCATCCCTACAGTCAGATGTTTCGCCTGCGTCTCCTCCTTTAGAGGAGTTGCGATGCTCTCCGTCGTAGCCTGAGGTTCCCACCAAAACATGGGTACCCCAGGGACACAAGGCAGAAAAGGGGTTAATTACAAAGGCATTACAGCTATCTGGCTAAGAAGTTTTACAGGGTTTGCTTGAAACTTTTGAAGGCCTTTAAGATGACGGCAGACGCAGGCAGACGAAGAGCAGAGCATTGGATGGATGAATGTAGGGCGGTATGGCAGAGTGTGGAGTACTATCAGAGCCTGAGTAAGGGATTTCTGGGTACCGCATGCTATGACGAAAGATGGACTAGCACCAAACGATCCATATGAGTAATTACTCATACTACTAGATTTGGGCAGAGGGTGGTAAGGATGAAATACGTAGACTAGGGAACTAATTGCTTTGAATGAGGTTTATGGGGTGGTTTGTATCATCATAGGCTGTCTTGAGGCTCACCACCTTGACAGTAAACTCACCCGTCCTTGCAATCATTTACCTGTTTCTGTGCTAGATGGGAATATTTGTTGTAATGCAGACCCCTGATTAATAGACCCCCTCCCCTTAACAGGGGTTATAATAGGGATCCCAATATTAAGGCCTTTAAAAGGCAGGGGGTTTATTGATCAGGGGTCTACATTAGTTGAGGGGTTGAGGGCAGGTTGCCTTCGCGGGAGGGGGTCGCTCGTCAAGGTGCCTGGGATGAACTCAAGTGAAGCCTTGCTCCTCAGGGCTTAGTGGCTTGCCTTGCACGCCCGCGGTTCCTCAACACGTGTTTGCAAAAAAGGGGGCCCATTCCAGAATGAGCTGAATTACACTTTCATTGTCGAATGTTCATGATATGTGAGGCCAATGTGTGAGGCTGCCGGATTGTCATCACAGGTATACTCGTCTCACTCTTTTGAAGGGCTAGTTTTCAACTTGTCCTTTGCATGCCCAGTGAATGCTCAAAGATCTTGCATGACCTCAGCCTTCTCTACTTCAGTGTTTTGGGTTTTAGGTTTAAGTTTAGTGTGTTGGGCTCCGGGCTCCGTACCTCTTACATATGATCATGATGTCGCTCATAGTACTCCCCTCTGCCTAATAATAAACCTTCCCGAACCCCCTAACATGAAATAGTCCCATTGTGGTATATTACATGATATAGGGAATAAGCAAAATCACAGCTGCCACAGCATGAGGCTTCCGATGCGACATGAAGGGGGTACCTGATAGGCAACATTTCAGTGAACAACTGTGGTTGCATCAACAAAGCCAGAATTGCGTAGTCGGCTCTTCCAGCTTTTGGACTCCATAGATTCATGCCATAGTTCTTGATTTCTCTTACACGTATCCCTTTCCAACTGTAACGTACATTTTACACATTGGCTCTCACCAGCTCTTAAGCTCAACGTAATCTCATTTTACAAACCAAATGGTGAAGATAGGTCAGCAGACAGCTCACTTTCACGCGTGGCTTACACGATGTTGCGTCCATGTCCGCTGTTCAGCGGCACGGTGTGCTGGTGTTTCCGGAAAGCTGAATGTTCCTTCTTCTTGGTAAGTTGGGAATCACTCCTTTGTTCAGTTGACGGACTCTTGGGCTATGAGCTTTGGAAACTGCATGCAATAAACGGGTCTGAATTATGTCATGTTCACTTAACTAGCACTTTGTAGCTGAAGGGGTCGGCGGCTCCGTGCTTGAAGTGGATTGTCCATGTGCGACCCCGCATATATCGTCCTGCTGCTGTGAGCTCGAATCCTTGGAACTCTCCTTGGCGCTGGGGGGCTGCCAGAGAAGCACAGCCATCACCCCAATCGCAAACACCAGAATAAAAGCTCCCAGCTGTATAAAACCCCACCGCGGAAAGCCAAAAATCACCGGCTCTTGTTTGCCAGGGGAGCCGTACCATGGTGTGGACACCAGAGCAAGGCCCAGCATCAGCACAATCAAAGCCATCCTAGGTTCCTTGGAGGAGGTCATGGCTCCTCGGATGGTATTAAGGTCCAGCAGCTTCGAGTTGCCATCACTGTGCATGAAGGTGTGGGCAATCCCCACCGTGAGAAAGTTCATGAAGGCTGATAGACTGATGTCCGGCACATAATCTCCGAGTGCATCTCCGCAGATCACTAGAACTAGCAAGGACAGGAGGCCCACAATAATCCCCAAAACGATGGATCGCTCTGAGACGTTCGTGTACAGACCCATGCCAAAAGCTGGCAAAAGCTGCATCATCATGCCTCCGTTGAAGCTTTTGATGTTGCCCATTTGCACGCTGCTCAAGGAATTGCCCAGAAAGAAAGAGGCCGTGCACGCTAGGAGGGAAGCAAGCGTGCCCACTCTCACGACGTTACGGCTCGACAGGGAAGGAAGAAGGGTGCCCGAGATAATGTCATTGGATATCACACTGGAAACACCCATCAGAGCTGAGTCTGCTGTCGACATAATGGCCGCAAGCGCACAACAGGTCATGATTGACACAAAAACATACTGCAGCACACCCACTAACTTCAATTGTGCCATTACCCCAGAAAATGCCGTGGCTTCTTGATCAACCGGCGGCCAGGCAGGATTGTTTGCTGCTTTGACAAGCCCCATGACAATGCCAGGGGGCTGTGCAATAAATGGTGCCACCAACATGACGCCCATTACGATTCGCAAGTCTGCATCAGTCTTGGCCAGGTATGCCCGCTGGACGAAGTGAGGTGTGACAGGCGCAGCTAGCATGTTGAACAAGAAGAAGAGTATGTCACAGAAAGTGGACCTGCTTGGGAAATTATAGAAATCGGGCCTGACGGCTGCAAGACAGCCGGAGGGGAGGCAGTCATTTCCCAAGCAGGCACCCGGCGCTGCGTGAGGGTCTGAGGCGTTAGCGAACACGTGGATGAGGTAGTCGCAGTCGGCAGGTGCCATCTGCGGCAAAAAGCCATACTCAACCCCAAGGACAAATGGTGTGAGCAAGAACGAGCAGAGCATAACAGCACATTGTATGGCGTCAGTGAGGACCACACTGTTCATCCCTCCCAGCATCTCAAGCGTGATGATGATGGCACAAAACATAAGCATGCTGGGCGTCTTCGGGATGGCTTGCAGCGTCATGCCTTCAACCATAGCTGCAAAGGCCACCATCTGCACTGCGATGTAAAGCAGCATGGGAACAACACCACAGGCTGCACACAGGAGCCTGAGTCGTTTGGTGCCGAAGCGGTCGGAAATGAAGTCAAAGGGGCTCGTATAGTTGCGCTCGACAGATAAGCGGCGCAGCCGTGGATACAGCAGCAGCATCCCGGCCACTATCACGAGCGTTGCTCCGACCCATCTCAGCGACACGAAGCCCATGGTGAAGGCTTCATCTGGGATCCCTGTGACCGTGTAGCCGGAGTACACGGTGGAGAAAGTTGTGAGCGCCAAGGTCAAAGACCCGAAGGAACCGCTGAAGTGGGCCTGCTTATACAAGCAATCCTATCAGAGTTTTGGGCTTAGGGATGTTTAAGGGACCCTATTGTAGCAAAAAATACAAACATCCTTAATTGAATTTTAAGCTGTTTTCTGGTTCCCGTAAGATTTAAGGTCTGATAGGGATTCTGTAGAGACTGCATGGGAGGGGCCCGCAAGCTTTGGAAATTCCATTTCAAGTACGTATACACTGTTTTCGGAAAGGGGTGTACTCTGCATGTAGAGGAGTACCTTGAGGTATAGCAAAGACCAGAAAGCATCATCGCAACGCAACAGCAGCTAGCAGCATCGGCGAGTCCCTATTCCAAGGGAGTTACAATGTGCACCTGAGATGGTGAACAAAACATAACAAAACGCATCTTCTCGCCGAGAATTGTCACCAACTCCGTCCGTGACAGCCCTGCATCACCACTCTATCCACCGCGGTGGGGGGATGGGATGGCTGGCTTCAGGTAAGGCTTTCTGCTTTACTAAACAGCCCCTGGCCCTGGACCCCATACCCTCGCCCCAAACTATGGAAAGTAAAGATGGCTTTTCTGTGTAGGCTACTGCCCTTTTGAAGAGGGCCTGTATCAGGTTCCATGTTAGCTTGGGCAACGGTAGACAGAGAAACCCCTTGCCTGCACATGGCCAACCGCAGCTGCCGCCTTTTGCTTTCTCGAGTGCGCAAGCTTTGCTATTGCTGTCAGCAGAACCAGATAGAGGCCAACAACTATGTAGAGCACCACATTACCTTCTTGAGTTTCCTCGGCTGCGAATGCCATCTTCTGTGGCAAAATGCAGTAGGAGATCGGCTGGCTAGTCAAAGCAAGGCCACTGCTATGCCGCAGAATCGCGGATGAGCCAAGATGTGCCACGTGGCAAGGTCCCGTAAAGTAGAGTTCTGTTTTTTTTCTTCCACACGATCTCAGCTTGAACCCTGAAAGCTTTGAACGGGCGCGGGTAACCCTGACAGACCAGCCCTCAACCGTTGGGTCCAGCCGTAATTCATCTAGTCTGTTTGGTTCTTAGTAGGGAACAGGGGAATTTGTTATACAGGAATTGTCGTTATGTCATCAATCCCAAGGTATCCGGTAGTCGGGGTCATGTTAAATTCAAAATATCAACCATATGATCATGCTCCTCTGGACATCTTTGCCCTAGACAAATGTCATCTTGTGGATGCCCTTGCCAAAACTAGTCCCTATGCAAGCGAGCTAGGCAGAAAGGCACAGCATATCTGACCCTGTCCCATGTCTGCCCATCAGCATCCGGGCATTCTTCTTCTTGTGCCGTCATATAGTACGTGCCATGTTCCTTTCCATTATCCCTATAGAACCCCAAAAACTACCCTATGATCTTTGTAAAACCCCAACATACACCCTATAATCTCGCCCTAGCGGATATTCATCCTGCTGTGACTATCCTTCTCATCCAGCTTTAAACGTGGCAGCGCGGCCCGAAGTACTGCTTGCTGCGCATCCTGGCATCCCAAGTCCCGACGGGTACATGGAGAAGTTAACCCTAAGGGTCCAAGGACCCAAATAATAGGGCTTTAGGGCCGCCCTAAAGCCCTATTGTTTGGGTCCTTGGACCCTTAGGGTAAGGTACTGTAGGATTTTGAAGTCTATGGAGGATGGACGTACGATAGTCATCTGGTAGATCGCTGTGATCCCATCCTGGCCCATACCCCCCCTCCGCCCTAAGCCCTACATCGCGAAAAAAGGTTGCCCTTTACAACCCCCTTAACAGAAAAGGACAGCTTTAAACAGACTACTTCGTGGTCAAAAGCAGCGCCCCAAACAATTTTGCCGCGTGAAATCTCATGGCATTTGCCCAGTTCGTATCTTTAATGTAGACTGATTAATTAGCACATATTAGCACAAGATGCTTTGAAGCTTTGGTGAACATCCATCCAACTGCATGTGCAATTCCTGCTCACCACCCCAGATTTCAATCATCTGATCCTGACATCTGAATATCTCAGATACAAAGGGGCCCAACATTGTACCTAAAAATGCCGAAAGGACATTTTGGCATGATATAGGGATCATACAATGGGTACATTCCCTTGTTCTGAACTAAGCCCCAGCAAGTAGCCCTCAGCTTCAAAATCACCAAACCCTCTGCTCCACGACATCTCCATCATCAAGCTTACGACTTGGCAACTGCTGCTATCCTGAACACAAAGCCTATATAAACACAAGCAGCAACTGGTAGAACCGCTCACAGCCGATATGAAACTTGCAAAAAGTCTGTGGAATCCTAAAATGCTCCTCAACCCTAAGTTCTCAATTCTCAGCCGCATGGCCATACACCTCCTGTGCACCCCCAGAAGCCGGCTCAAAAGTTGGATACTATTCACAATAGGGTTTAGGGTTTAGGGTTACTTTTGGTGGTTGAACCTAGTAAGATGATATTCCTTATACAAAATACTATACCCCGAAAGGAGGATATAATCTTACTCTATATTGGGTACCACAGTATCCCCAAATACAACACTGCTCATTTATTCTTTTTAAGGCTTTTACCCCAAGGCTCTTGAACCCTGATAGAGGGATCTCCATCCTAAGCTCGCAAAGCCCGAACCTGGTCCCATGGGCGCCTTCAGGTGATGAATGCACAGCTTACACATCCTAATCAATAGTACAGAAGCCCCGCCCATCCCCTAACTATAATGCATATTCCTCGAAAATGTGATGTCCTCCATGGGGGTGGGGTTACTCTGAAAGGAGGACCCTAAACCCCAAAACCCTAAACCCCAAACCCTAAACCCTCAACCCTAAGCCCTAAGCCCTAAACCCCAAACCCCAAACCCTAAACCCTATACCCTAAAGTATTGACCCAGAAAGTCCCTCCTTCAGCAACTCTTGGAAGCGCTTCTCCGCCTTCGTCGGATCCTCTCCGGGTAGCCCAGGATCCCAACACGGGTTTAGGGTTTAGGGTGTAGGGTAGTATTTTTTTGGGGGTGATATAGGGGTTATATAGGGGGAATATTGGGGATATATTGGGATAATGGAAAAGAAAATGGAAATTATAGTGACTGGCTCTATCTTGCAGTACTGTTGAAAGTAAAACTCTGCTCGCTACCCCTTCATTCAAACTGGGTGTTTAAACATCATCGACCAAAATTCGACTTGGACCCAGACACCTTTCAAGACAAAAGTCCTCATGCCCATCTACGAATGGGCAGCTATGCAAGAAAGGGAAACCCAATATTGCATGAGGAATCAATGGCTTTGGGCTCCTTGTGCTTCTACTCCCAATTTTTTGAAGTCTTGGAGTGGTTCTGGTTGTTGGGCTTTTCAGGGCTTGGAGTGTTAGGGCAGCTTGAGTTACAAAGCAACACGGAAGCTCAAGATCCTCAGCCCCATGCCGCGCCTACCACAGACACTTTGCACCACAAACCCCTTGGGGTTATATAGGGGATATATAGGGGTAATATTGGGGATGTATTGGGATTATATGGGGTTTTATTGGGGTATGCTTACTATCCCTGCGCCCTGATGCCTGGGGAAGCACCCCGAGAACCTCTTGCCCTCCCGACATCAGCATTTATTATCCTGCTCTGTATAAGTGTTAAGAACTACCACCAGAAATCCATGCAAGCATAAGCATAACTTCCCTTCCCTGCATAACCCGACATTCCCCAACCCTTTCCGTACATCCTAAACCCTAAGCCCTGAACACTGAGCTCCCCCACATCCCTATCCAGAGATTTGTCCAAATCATTTGTCGGAGACCCCTTATACTCTCCTTATAAATCCGCCATATATAGCTCTGGGGTCTAACAAAAAAGTAGACTATGCTCATCCCCATCATACTGACCCATGTCCTTCCGGCGCCGCGATGCAGGAGAAACAGGGGAATTGCTTCGACTCCTAAATCTCCGCTTTGTCGTTGGGCTTGAGGCTTGGGGTTAAAGGTTTTTAGGGATTAGGATTCAGGGTGCTGGGGGGTTGTCGGGTCCTGTGAAGTCAATCAACTAAATGGCCCAAAGCCAAAACAACGGAACGACAGAGGCAATGATTCTACATATGTGCGGCTCTAGGAAAAAGGACGAGAGTTGAGTGTTTTGCAAGCATGGATAAGGGTTGATTGCTTAGGGATTGGGGTTTAGAGATTTGGGTTTAAGATTCAGGGATTATGTGTCCTTAAACCCTGAACCCCAACCCCCAAACCCTAAACCCTAAAGCCCAAACCCCTAAACCCAAACCCAAGCCTTGAGGATTGAGAAGTCCGTCGAGTCTTCAGTTTAAGCGCTTAGGATCTACCAGTGAGCTTTAGGATTTTGCTTTAAGAGTTTAAGGCTTCCGCAACCCGAAATCAAATTCCCTAAACCCTAACCTTTCCACCCTAATCTGGTAAATCCTAAGAACCCTACACCCTAAACCGCAGGGCTAGGGGTGTACCAGCCGCAAGGCTCAGGGGTGCTAGTACTGGTCCATGGGATCCAAGCGCTTCTGAAGGATGATTGTGGATTCTTGCTTGTTTAAGGTTTAGGGTTTAGAACCCTAGAAGCCTAAACCCTAAACTTAGGGCTTAAGATTTGGGATTGCCGTGTTTTCGAAGGGATATATCTGGGATAGTTTCAAGGAGGTATCTGCCAATCATATCAGAAGCCTCAGACCTTCAAGGGTACACTTGTGAATTGCAGCTGAAGCGCGGAATTCAAGATATCCCCTATATACTATAGTAGTTTCCATCTTCTTTTCCATTATCCCAATATTGGGTTCGTGATTTGCCGATGGGTTTTCCAGATGGCAGACTTCTGTGTCACAGAGCCTTTCATACTGCCCAGTCACCCACACACAAAATCAAATTCGCACAGTCGCCTTTTACTTGTTGCCTTTCAGAAAGGCCATTCCCATCCAGCTTTCAAAATTTTCCTTGTAGAAAGGTGCATATCATAGTACATTATAATACATTATGGTATATTCTAGTCTATTTATAGTATGTTGCAAATATATTGTAATACATTGTAGTATATTACTGCTGAATCCATTTTAGCTCTTGCAAGCGCAGATGCTGAGCGGAGCTGAGCAGAGCGTATCTTTCCAGTTGTTTCTGGTGGATAGACACAACAGCCTGGATAATGGAAAAGAAAAACTACTATAGTATGTTGGGATAATGGAAAAGAAAATGGAAGCTACTATATAGTATGTTGGGGATATATTAGGAAAAGAAAATGGAAGCTACCATATAGTATATTGGGGATACATTCCTCCTAGAGCGCGTTCGCGCATTCGGGGAGAGCTTTAATGTTTACATGTGCTTCACTTACAGTGATTCCAGCAGAGCGACAGCAGTTGCTTTTTCAAATAACCCCGACTTCAATCCTCCCACGACCTAAATCCGACATGATTTGCAGCTCGGCTCCTGCTACTCTCTCGTGTCTCGGAGCTTGCTGCCCTGGCGCCGAGAGTGGGACTAGCTAGGGCAGCCCTAAACCCTAAACCCTATAAACCCTAAAGTATGCATTTTTCATATGTCAGGTAAGCATCGGGGCCAGGATTTCGGACCTGTATTCCGCCTGGAGCCTGGATAATAGAAAAGAAAATGGAAGCTACTATTCAGGGTTTAGGGTATGTAGTCCCCCAACAGTAGAAATTAATATTGGGGTGATAAGGGGGATAATGGAAAAGAAAATGGAAGCTACTATCTAGGCTTTAGGGCTTAGGGTCTAATTACACCTCTCAGGAGATGGAGCGAGGGAAGATGCCCCATCAAAAGCACGATTCTCTTCGCTGTGAGCCACATGACTCTACATCTTAATTAGATTTGG